GGAAATTATGAGTATAATTTCAGTGTATGTGGACTGTATTATATAGGGCTGGTTCAAATAAATTAGGATATGTAGTAAAGGGTATACAGACAATAGCAAATTAAGTTTATACAAAGTTTTACCAATATTTTTTCTGCTCCACATACTCGCGGTTTTTCTTCTTATGCGGAATATGTCCGGACACCGGTTTCTAAACACGTGTTTCGCGGTACTTACACTGATATCACGAGATAGAATACACTTTGCCTCTGTACACGATTTAAATTAGTATATGCAGTCTTTTTCGCGTAACTAAAGCGGGAGAGAGATAATTAGCGATAGAAAACAGCCAAGAGAGATGCTGTTCTTCTTGATAAGAGAGAGAAAAAGTGGACTGTCCTCAACGACAGATATCTGTACCAAGCGATAGGTAATAGGGGAGAGAGAATGACTGTCCCTAGCGATAACCGACAATCAAGAGAGCACAACTGGCCCTAGCGGCAGTCAAATCAAGAGGAAGTCTTTCTTCTTTGCTATCGTACAACTGTCTGTATTTGTAATGGAGTGGGGTTAAAATGTAAGTAGGAAGGGTTATCAAGGGTTGGACTAAGATAATGATTGTAAAATTGTGATAGAAGGATAGTTAATAATACAGCGAAAAAATGACATGATTTTTCGCATGTGAAAAAATGGAACACTATGTAATACCTATTTAGTACACATAGATAACACACACCTTTAGAAACTTTTTGATTTTTAAAATGTGATGGAATGTTTGATACCAAATTTGTATTTTTATAGCGCGAAAGAATGTTTGATACTGAGTTACGATTTTCTAAGTGTGAAGGAATATTTGATAATAAATTATCAGACGGAATTGTAATTTGTGTTGAGGACTCTTTTGTATTATCATCAAATAATTTTTGTTTGGGTACAATTTTTTTCTCAGGGCTTGGAGATTTAGTGTGGGCGAGAAATATTTTTGGAGATAATCTTAAATTCGCTTCTGGTGTAGGTGAATGCTTGAAAATGTCAATAACATTTTGGTTATTTACAGGGATAGATAATTTTGTGTGAGAATGAAATTCTGGTGTATGAACTTTGACAAATTCAGGTAGCTTAAGCTCAAGAACCTCCATATTGTTACTTCTACTTTCCTGGTGTAAAGGTGTTAACACTTTCAATGCTTTTTTTGACTCTTCTTGATATTTTGCAACAAGAAAGTGAACTTGTACACCTTTTTTAGTTTTGTTGTGATCATTTCTATGGGTTGTCTACTTTCCTTTTCAGATTTATTAAAAGTTTTAGCTAATTTTTTTGTTTTTTTATTAACCGACCTTTTATTTTCTTTCATACTTTGTTTTTTCTTTCTTTCGAGTTTTCTCTGTTCTTTTTTACGATCCTCTTCTAATTGGTATGTATTTATTGCTTTAAAATATGGAAATAACAACATATATGGCAAACAAATATAAAATGATTTTATTACTTATGTATTTACTATAAAACCTCTACTTACTTTGTCCCTCTAGTAAAGATACTTTAAAAAATATAAATATATTTTTATATATAGTAGTTATTTTATTTTTGTTAATATGGAAGAGCTTTCGTAACGCTTTAAGTGTCAGTATTATTTACTTTATGGCTTATTTTAAAAGAATATAGAAAATAAATTTGCCGTTTTAAGGTTAGACGTTTTATTTTATTCCATGTGTTAACGATATGTTATAAATATAATTAATTCATAATAAATGATTATTTTATCTTAAAGAGTACCATACTATGTGTCTCGAAATAACGTTTCTCCTTTTATCTTCCTGATGGGTACACGTTAATACATAATGGTCAACAACATAAGCAAGCCTGAGTATTCGTGGACAGTAAACCATTAGATGGCTATTGTCAACATTTGTGACACTACCAAAAAAAAACGATCTGCGAAAACGTGCGAAGATTTCCGAACTATCAGCCTTATGAGTCTTGCACTTAAGATTTTTCTTACAATCATACATGCCAGAATTTACAATAAATGCGAAGAAAATGTCGGTGAAATGCAATTTGGATTGCGCAATTCCATGAATACACGTGAAGCTCTTTTCACCTTACAAGTCCTACTTCAGAGATGCCGCCATGCCAGTTGTGATGTCTATATTTATTTTATATTGACTGATCCAAGGCATTTGACCGTTGTCAGCACCAGAAAATGTTCGCCGCCCTACAAATAGTAGGATTGGATGAGAAGGACATTCGTGCCAGCGTGCTCAAGTCAAGGTCGAAGACCAGCTGACCGACCAAGTGAAGATCATTCGAGGAGTGAGGCAAGGTTGTGTGCTCTCGCCGATTTTTTTCAATATATACTCTGAGGAAATTTTTACTGAAGCCCTCACAAACCTAGAGATGGGACTCCGAGTAAACGGTGAATACATCAATAATATCCGCTACGCCGATGACACTGTGTTACTAGCAACCAGCCTAAATGATCTACAAGCCTTACTAGACCGAGTGAGAACTGTGAGTGCAACATACGGACTAGATCTTAATATTAAGACAACTAATTCATGGTTATCAGCCGTACAAATTTAGCTCCCGGGGCAATAATGGCAGGTAACGAAGAGATCCAGAGAGTCGACAGATTCACTTACCTCAGAACTACCCTCAACTCACAATGGGACTACACTCAAGAGATTAGATCCAGAATTGAAATGGCACGGTCTACATTTATCAAGTTGAGATGCTTGCTGTGTTGCAGTGATCTCAGTTTGGGAACCAAGATTCGGATAGTGAGGTGCTACATTCTTCCAGTGTTACTATATGGAGTTGAAGCCTGGACACTGACGCAAGCCACAGAAAAGTGGATTGAAGCCTTCGAGATGTGGATCTACAGGAGGATACTAAAAGTATCGTATGTGGACCATGTCACCAACGTTGAGGTCCTACAGCGCATGAGAAAAGAAAAAGAAGTGCTTAATTTAGTGAAACAATGTAAGCTTGAGTACCTCGGACACGTGATGCGGAACGAAGAAAAATATCGAACCGCAGAAAAGGTTCAAATAATAAATTTTATTAAAAACATTTTAATCGCCGATGAATCTTCTATTTCGTTAGCAGGGAGACACAATCCTTCATTACGAGGTATTGGGCGTGGGAAAACCAGCACAGAAGTGTTGTTTACCGAACTCAACGTCCACATAACCTTGATTTGTTACAGAATCATGTTCTTCCCGATATTCTCAATCTTCCTCATGTAAATCGAGAGAATGTTTGGTTTTATGAAGACGGCTGTTCAGTTCACAACGCTCGAATATTTAAAGAGTACTTAAACAATACTTTCCCGAATCGAGTTATCAGTGGAACAGGCGATATTAAGTGGCCTGCGCGATCTCCAGATCTTACACCCATTGAGGTCTTTTTTTGGGGACATTTCAAAAGCAGCATCTACGATCATCCTGAGGCTAGAGCCCAAAATTAAAAAACCGAATAAGAGAAGTCTCCAATTCTGTTACAGCAGAAACTCTTTCATCTGTCCGCAGAAGTTTTTATGACAGATTGGGATACTGTTCAACCATAGAAGGTCAAATATTTGAATCATTTCTGTAGGGCATAAAGAATTATGTCTTATTTTATTAGGATTTATTTTCAATAAGAGTATATTTTTTGTTTTCTCTTTTTAAGAAATGCGCCATTTTTAATTCAACCAAAAAAATTGTTCGCATTATTAAAAACCGATACAAATGCACCGCCTTATAAAGGTCAGTGTATTTTTATCGAGTGTATGTTACAAGAAATGAACCGGGTATATGAAAACAAAAATTGACGGATATCCATGCGTTGTTGGTTTGAAATGGTTTTCTCGTTTTCTGTTTAGGTGTTGGAGGGGATAGGAGAATTATAATTACCTCGTACGAGGCAATGTTGCCGATTTTAGCGCTGTATGTAGTGTGCAATATCTAATCCAAAACTTAACGTACTCTATATGGTCCATAATAACATAGGGGCTAAAATATGGTCCATCAAATTAAAGTCAATGTACCCCAGTAGTGCAGGATATGACGGTTTTCTGCTCAGAATTCTTTTTATATGCACGGATTTTCGTGAATTTTTGACAATAGGTAGAAAGTTGGTTACAACAGCAAATTTACTAAGATGTAAATTGGAGCTGGAAGGTCAGATAATAGAACAAGTGATGGAGTTTAATATCTAGGATCACATTATCTAGCTACGGAAAGCTCGAAACCGAAGTGGAAGATCAAGTGAATAGAGCAAACAGAGCCGCAGGCTGCCTAAATGAAACAATATGGAGAAATAAAAATATCGGGAAAGAAACGAAAGGCAGAATTTACAAAACAGTCATCAGACCAATAATGACAGACACGGCAGAAACAAGACCTGACATAGAGGACAAAAAGGATGTTAGAAACAGTAGAGATGAAAACAGAAAAATTGATGGTAATATACTATGGAACAGAGCTAGAAGTACAGATATACGACGTAGATGCAAGGTGGAGAACATCAAGAACTGGGTAAGAAATAGAAGAGTAGCATCGAACGATCATATAAGCCGAATGACAAGAAATAGAGTAGTAAAGACGACAAGAGACGGTTCCCCAATAGGAAGACGATCAGTAGGAAGACCACGAAAACGATGGAATGACAACTTACTGGAGGCACATTGAAAAACAGACAAAGTATATATAAAAAGAAGAAGAAGGTAGAAAGTAGCTTAAAGATCAAGATATATCTATGCCAATATGTGCTGTTCCTCCGAGGGTGGTTACCATTACCTTCGTAAAAAAATGTATCCAAAAAACTCACCAAATTGGAACAGAAACGCAGAGGAAATTCGATTGGCTGGTCGAAGCCCTCTGCTAGAGCACCTAGGGAGCAGATATGGGTTAATTCTTAACAAGACCCAAACCTCCTTATGGTGGTCATGGTTGGTAGTTCAAGTTTCTTTTCTAGATGGCGTAATTACCTTACTGGACAGTATGACTTGTCATCCTAGCCTTTTATATAGATAGACATGATCACATTGAATTATGCTCTTTATTAAACAAAATATATATTAATAAATAAATAAATATTTCCATTAACACTGGTAAAAAAATATTCGTTCATTATGTGGCAGGTACACCGAACATGTTTAACTTCTGAATCCTAGAAGACTATACTAGCAGGTTTTCCAAGTTCTTGCTCATTCCATGGCTGGTAAACCGAATAGTTCTGGCTTGAACTGCGTAAGAGAATCCAAAACGAGAGTAGCAGGTTTTCTGAGTTCCTCGGAAATATGGGGCTCTGGTACCATCACAGCTTGCATACCTGCACTGAGGGCTCCTCGGATCCCACTCGGGGCATCTTCAAAAACGAGACACTGAAAATAAAAACAGAGAAAACTTGAATGAAAAATACATAAAATTATATAGAATCAAGAGTTTGACATCTGTTAGTGACTAATTCAAAGTGTTCAATGTTCTAACAAGAAAACGCCTAACACAAAAATGCTTCTTGTGAAAAAATATACAATTACATTTTAGTAACTACTTATAGCAGTTATTCCCGCGTACAATATTCACTCCACATTTGGTATCAGTATAGAATAAAGTCATCTCTGGCTTCTTGCTAGTTTCGTCTACTGTATCAGTGTGATGAAAGGATGAAACTAGTAACACATTTTTATTCTTTTTGGGTGCAAGCGATGTCACCTCATATGTGCTCCAAAACAAAAAAACAGGAACCTACAGGGCGGTCTTTCATATTGGTCATAATTGGGGGCAATCCTTTTCTTTGGGACTGAATCGTACCCACAACCGTTAGCCTGTGTTTTCTTTTCCATTCAACCATATCAAATGTCTGAATCAGCCTCTGAAAATACTCAAAATGTTCTTGACAGTCCAACTATTGTTCTTGACAATTCACTACTAAGGAAAATATTCATGTTAATGAAAGATATGCCATAATCAGCGAAATACCTACATCTGAATCCGATTGTACGAGAAGGATTTTACAGATCAAAAACATTTGATTTATCAAACACTCCTGGAACATCATCAAGTTATATTAAATTAACAAGCATTTCTCCGTTACCTAAATCAATTGTGGTTAGATCCAGAAATTGCAGAAGCAAAAAGTCGGAAATTATCACCAGCTCTCCATATAAGGACCAACTAATTGAAGAAAATGAGAGGGAGGGAGTTTAAAAAGGAAATCAGATGTGAACCTCAGACCGGCAGAGAAGATACAAAAAAATGAAAAAGCTGTTTTAACAAATCCAAAAGAAAATTTGGAGCTGTCCAGGTGCAACCAAACATTTAAAGAACCTATCTCACAGAAGACTGGATTCAGTGCTGGCCCTTCTATTCTAAAATCAGAAGTGGAAATGCTATAAAGGGTCTTAAAAATAACAAAAGACCAGGCAACGATAACGTATACGGGGAAGTATTGAAAATGCTGTGCGAAACAAACAGTCAATTTCTAGACTCACTCGTCAGACTCTTTAACAATATTTATAACAGCGGGGAGTTTCCTGAAGACTGGCTAGAGTCAACTTTTGTTGCCATACCGAAAAAACCAAAAGCAAAGTCTTGTGATCAACATCGGATGATAAGTCTAATTAACCACATTTCGAAGGCATACACCAAGGTTATTTACAACAGAATAAGCAAAAAATGCGAGGATAACATTGGAGATTCGCAGTTTGGGTTTCGGAATTCTCTTGGGACAAGAGAAGCACTTTTTAGTCTACAGGTACTCATCCAGCGCTGCAGAGATATGAACAAAGACGTGTACATATGCTTTATAGACTACGCAAAAGCATTCGATAACGTAAAGCACGAAAAGATAATTGAAGTTCTCCATAAGATCGGAGTCGACTACAGAGACATTCGAACAATAGCGAGTCTCTATTGGGGTCAAACAGCTAAAGTGAAAGTAGGATCTACATTGACCAATAAAATTGAGATCAAGAAAGGGGTACGACAGGGCTGTATCTTGTCTCCAATTCTCTTTAATATATACTCAGAAGAAGTATTTAAGACAGCGCTGGAGGAAAGCACAGAAGGCATAAAGATAAATGGAGAAATAATTAATAACATAAGGTATGCTGATGACACTGTGATTCTAGCAAGTAGCATGGAGGAACTGAGTTGCCTAATGAGTAAGATACAAAAAACAAGTGCACAATACGGACTCAGACTAAATATCACAAAAACCAAATGGATGTTAGTAAGCAAAACCCAACAACCACCACAGCAACTGATATTAGACAATGAAAGAATTGAACACGTGGATTCGTACATCTACTTGGGAACAACAGTTAACTCAAATTGGGATCAAGCGAAGGAAATACGTATAAGAGTAGAAAAGGCAAGAGCATCGTTCACTAGCATGAAGCAAATTTTCACCTCTAAAAGCCTCACCCTACCTCTCAAAATTCGACTTCTGAAATGTTATGTATTCCCGGTTTTGTTATATGGAATGGAGGCGTGGACAATGACCGCAACATTGATGAAAAAAGTAGAGGCCTTCGAAATGTGGGCTTACCGACGTATATTACGTATATCCTGGACTGAGCACGTGACCAACGAAGAGGTACTACGCCGGATAGGTAAAGAGAGAGAGGTAGGAATAAGTATAAAGAAAAGAAAGTTGGAATACTTGGGTCACGTTATGAGACATAATAAATATAGAGTACTACAGCTGATCGTTCAAGGGAAAATAGACAGCAGAAGGGGTCCAGGGAGGAGAAGACACTCGTGGCTCCAAAACTTGCGGCAATGGTTCGGATTGTCATCTGCTGAACTATTCAGATCTGCCGTAAACAAAGTCAGAATAGCCATGTGATGCAACTTTCGGAACGGACAAGGCACATGAAGAAGAAGAGGATTCAGTGCATATCATGTGCTGAATGGTGGCATAAAAAGTGCAGTGCCTACGCAGGTTCTGGGTCTTATAAATGTGACCTACGTTCATAAAATTACGTGCGCAATACAATCCTAAATGCGTACTTTTAAAAAGCGGTTTTATAAGAGTGCGCAAAACCACTTTTTTTTAGTTTCACTTTTCTAGTAATAATGTTTGTTCGCATTTAATTTTTTTGTTTATGTATCAAAAGGCTTAAATACAAATAAATATACTTTCAACGCGATTGGTTTGGATTTTACACTTGATTAAACCTTAAGTGCACATTCTTGAAGCACTCTACCTTATAAACTAATACTATGTGATTAAAATAATTATAATTCAAATAAAACTATCAGATACTTACATCGGAAGGATTAGGATTATCTGAAAATCTGGAAGCACATACTAAAAATATATCTGGTGCTGGTTTTCCATTTTTAACTGCCGGATCCGAGCTACCGCATACGATGTGATGGAACAATTTAAAAACATCTTGATGGTTTTTACTTTTTATTTGCGTCGCTTTTTCGGATGCTGATGTAGCGACAGCAATGGGTATACCTTTCTTGTGGAGGTGTGTAACAAGTTCTAAAATAATAAACATGTTATTTTATCTATTAAAAATGAAAATCCTGTTGCCACAACAAATAATAAAATTAAAATAAATAAATTATTTCGAATATTTTTTTTTATTTTTCGACATAATCTTTCTTATCTCAAGCGAAACGTTTTTCCAATGTTTAGCTTGAGATTCTTCTTCTTCTTAGCCTTCTGTCGTCCATGTTTCGACATAGGCCTCTCCCAACTCCTTCCATCGGTTTCTATCCTGAGCAACATATTTCCAATTTGTTCCGGCTATTCTTTTAATGTCATCAACCCATCTCATCTGTGGTCTTCCTCTTGGTCGTTTACTTTCGTAAGGTCTCCAATGTTGTATTTGTAGTATTCCAACGTTGGTCTTTCTGTCTAGCAGTGTGGCCCGCGAAGCTCCATTTAAGTTTTGCAATTTTTATTGTTATGTCCTCGACTTTTGTTTTGGATCTTACCCAGTCGTTCCTCTTTTTATCTGACAGTCGTATACCTAACATTGCTCTTTCCATTGTTCTTTCTGTTGTGGCTAGTTTATTCATGTTTGCCTTGGTTAGGGTCCAGGTTTGACATCCATATGTCATGATAGGAAGGATGCATTGGTTGAACACTTTGCTCCTCAAGTATTGGGGTATTTTGCGGTTCTTAAGTATCCAACTAAGTTTTCCAAATCCTGCCCATGCTAGTCTTGTTCTTCTCGTAATTTCCGCACTTTGGTTCTCTTTGTCAAGTCTCAGGATTTGGCCTAGGTAGATATATTCCTGGATTTGTTCTATCTCACTGCCGTTTATAGTTATATGTCTGGGGTCTTCTGTGTTTGTCATTATTTTTGTTTTTGTTCATATTCATTTTTAGGCCGACGTATTGGGAGCTGGCTGCTAGTTCCCCCAACATAATTTGCAGTTCCTCGAATGTTCTCGCTATAATCACTATGTCGTCAGCGAATCTGAGGTGGTTTAACTTGTTGCCATTAACGTTAATGCTATAGGTTGACCAATTTGTAGTTTTGAAGACGTCTTCTTGGGCTAGGTTGAAAAACTTTGGCGATATTACGTCTCCTTGTCTCACTCCTCTCTTAATGGGGATGGGATTTGTATTTTCGTCTAGTTGTACTATCATAGTTGCATTTTCATATATATTATGTATTAGTTGCCTATATCTCGAGTCTATTCTACAATTATTAATAGCTTGTTCTATAGCCCACATCTCGATACTATCAAACGCCTTTTCATAGTCGACGAAGGCAAGAAATATGGGTAGTTGGTATTCATTTGCCTTCTCTATCAATGTTCTCATTGTCAGCAGATGGTCTGATGTACTATATCCTTTGCGAAAGCCAGCCTGTTCAACCGGTTGGTAATTTTTCATTTTGTAGGTTAACTGGTTATTAATAATTCTCATAAATAGTTTGTATACTTGACTGAGCAACGATATAGGTCTATAATTCTGTAGATCACATTTGTCCCCTTTTTTGTGTAAGAGTATTACTAGACTCTCGTTCCAGTCTTTAGGGATCTGGCTATTATGGATACATCTATTAAATAGCTCTGTTAGTACGGGAATTGTTAATGTCTTGCTTGTTTTCAAGAGCTCGGCAATTATACCATCGTGTCCTGGAGCTTTATTATTTTTTAGTTCTTTTAAAGCTCTTTCTATTTCGTATCCCTTTATATTTGGTAGTACTTCTGATCCCACGTTTTTATTTTTCTTTTGACGTTCTCCTTTGTTGTTTCATTAGGCTGGCCTTGCGAGCTGTACAAGGATGTGTAGAAGTCTTCGACAATATTTGTTATTATATATTTGTCCTTCTCTACCTTATTGTTAGCGTCTTTAATTTTGATGATTTTTCCAGTGGAAACTCCCAGTGCGGGTCTTAGACATTTTAAGCCTCTGTTGTTTTCAATGACTCGCTCTATTAAGTTCTCGTTCCATTTTTGTATGTCGCGTTTTAGTTCTTTTCTAATTGTTTTATTAAGTTCTCTATATTTTTGAGTATGGCGTTTGTTTTGCGCTAGTAGTTGTCTTCTTTCCGTCATTAGCTGTTTAGTTTCATTGCTTATTTTGTCTTCTTTAGTCCTTGTTTTCTTTGCGACCTGTAGTCCTGCTGCGAGAAGGTTTTTATTTAGGTTTTTATTAATCTCGTCAATTTGATCTTGATTATGTGAAGGATCAGATTCGAACTTATCCGCTAAGACCTCTCGGAATTGCTCTTCATTTGTTCTTAGTTTAAAGGCATCTATCCTCGTTGTTTTTTTTTAATTCCTTTTTCTCTCTTCTTTCATGTTAATATTTATTTTTGCTCTGACTATACGATGGTCACTGCCCGTTGTTACGTTGTTTATTGTTGTGACGTCTTCAAATATTCCTTTGTTGTTTGAGAGAAAATAGTCTATTTCATTTTTGGTAGTTCCGTTAGGTGCGACCCATGTCCACTTTCTGTTAGGTTTCTTTTTGTAGAAGGTATTCATAACATACATGTTTTCTTGTTAAAGGAATTCCATGAGTTTTTCTCCTCTTGTGTTTCTTGTGCCGAATCCAAGGCTTGAGATTAAGGATCTAAAAAGTGGAAATTCGGAAGTTCGACAAAATAGACAACTCTTTGGTGATGACTTCCTCGTGTTTTTAAGTTTTCTTGTTCTTTGCGGATGACCAGGGCGTCCTAGCTCAAGATTCTTATGATCTAGAATTTCTGAAAAAGCATCTATACATAGAATATGTAAAATGGAGGTTACAAGTCAGCATGAAGAAAACAGAATATTTAGTTATCAATTCACATGCAAGGTTTGAAGTGTTGATAGAGGAGGACATGGAAATCAAACAAGTGAAAACATTTAAATATTTATGTGAACTCATTGATAAGAGCGGCTTGGGAGAAACCGAAATTAAACACCGAATTAATCAGGGACGTAAAATTGTAGGATGTCTGGAACTCCTGATGGTGGGATCGCAACCTTTCCAAAAGGAACAAAAAAAGAATAGGGTAAACCATGGTTGAATCAGTTCTTTGCTATGGCTCTGAAGTATGGGCAATTAATGCAGACCTGAAGAAAAGATTGTTGGTAGTTGAAATGGATTATTTGAGAAGAAGTGCTAGAACATCAAGGCTGGAAAGAAAGACCAACGAATCCATAAGAAATAACATGAATGCTACAGAAACGGTCGTTGACAGAATAGAAAGAAGAGGTTTAAAAAGGTTTGGATACCTATTGAGAATGCCTGACGAACGTTGGCTCCAAAAACTTCACAGATAGAAGCCCCCTAGAAGAAGAAAAAGAGGTACACCTCGACGCTCATGAAATGAAGGAGTTAGAAGAGCGACGGAATCGAGAGGTTTGGAGGAGGAGCATGCATTGGCCCGGGAGGATTGGCGAAGAAGAACGGGAATACGGCGATGACCGTCTCCAAAATGTATTGTATTTATTATATTTATTTCATGGCTCAAAATATGCACGCCACTGTTTCACCTATGCTCTACGTAACTGGTGGGCGTACTCGAAGTATCATAAATGGTTGGTTACTCATATTTGGCGACTACTAACTGTAGCACATTAGAACTTAGTGTCTTCGTGTAACAGAGTATATAATTGCTTACCAGTATATAATATTTACTTACCTTTAGCACCAGGTAACATCTCTGTCTGTGCAAGTTCTGTTTCTTGGTTTTTCCTGAATAATACCAGAAATTCCTCGGGAGTAATAGGTAATCCTAATTCTTGCACAACTATTTTGGCTGTGTCTGGTTCACGGGTACCTAACACTTTATGTTGACATTCTTCGGTATATCTTTTACCATATAGTTTGGCAATATCATCAATAATTTTTTCATAAATGGATTCAGACTCTGCAAAGATATAGTTATATATAGTACTTGTAATAGTCAGCAATAGGTGTCAGAAAATAAAAGTAATAAACAAAGAAAACACAAAAATAATGTATCAAAAAGGACATAAAATCGGGACAACATTATTGAATATACAATTCGGTTTATCAAGCAATGTTATGGATAGACGCATCAGTATTAAAATAGAGGAATAGGGGAAGGGTGGGCAAGTCGACATACTCGAAGGTAAAATCGATTTATTTTGAAAAATGTAAAAGGTGTCATGAATTAAAAAGCGCCATAATACAAACAGAACATTCTTTTTTAATATTTATTAAGTGAAAAACAAAAACAGAACTCCATTTTAAAACTGTCAATGTAAAACAAAAAAGAGTGAAAATGTCATCCAGCCCTACCCTAGAGGGCAAGACGGCATATACGTAGATTTAATCATATAAAGTGATCAATTCTTAGCCTTCATTGATAGTCCTGCACACTCTGCATGAGTCCACATTTGGCACTTTCGGCAATGTAACCAGCCTTCTTGAGATGTGGATAGGCTATATAATTCATTGCAATAGAGGCATGCGCAATCATTGTCGTCGTCGTCATTAAAGGGTTCTTCTCAGTCTGATTTTTTTTCATAGATTTTAACTGCCGCACTTTGTTCACTTTTTCTTAATTTTCCGGTTCTCTTATCTCGACAATCTTTTTGAGTGTCTTTATCTCCACATTCTAAGGTACCATCAAACACATTTTTCTTTACTGAGTTTTGCTTATTCCCTCTTATCTCTCTCGCTTTCTTAAAATTCTGTTGTTCGCGAAGACTCTGGAGGTATGGACTCGTGGTAAGAACATCTTGGTAACTATTGGCCTTTCTTCTTCTGGACTTTCTTGCATTTCCCTAAGAAAGAGGTGAAATTTGCAACAAAACGTTTGTGACGTTATTAGCTGAAGACTCTACATGTTCATGTGGCTTTGTATTTACTGTTGTAGATGACTGCGGATCTTCGTCATTCAAATGTTCTGCTGCAGTGAAACATGCACCCGGATTAAGGGATTCAGTGTTTGCATTATCGGCCTCAAGTGTTACGTCAGTTACTGTGCTGGGCAAATAAATGTGTTCTGGAAATATAACCGGGTTGAAAGGTAAGATCCCTGTTGCTTTGAATCCGCTTAAAGCTATCGTTGGTATTGCGGTTTTATTGTAGGCGGAAGAAAAAAACGAAGCGACCTGGTAAAGAATGATGACACGACTTGGATTTTCCTTCAACCATTGAGTTGCTGTTGCATCGTAGTACTTACTTAGTGGCCCGAAAAAGCACACAAGAGAGGTTGGAGACGATGTGTGCAATGTGAAGGCAACCAAATAGCACCACTGAATTGTTTTTTGCAAGTTCCAATGCTTCTAAATTTTTATGGCTGACTTGCCCGTCTAAAATTAGCAGGGCTTTGTGTTTGGTGTTCGGTCGAACATGTTTAATAAAGTGTTCCATTCATTTTAAAAATAGTTCCCTGGTCTTGTAACCTGATTCATTGTACAAACATAAAGTCCCAAGGGGCGCTCCGTCGTATAATGTTGGATTGAATTTCTTCCGAGGAAAAATTACAGCAGGTGGAATATAAGTTCCCCCTGAACTCATGCACGCTACTACAGTTGAATGTACTCCCCTTTTCCTGCTGATGATGGCACCCACTTGTTTCTTTCCTTTTAGAGCAAAAATTTTAGAAGTATTATGTACAGTTGTCAATCCTGACTCGTCCATGTTAAAAATCATACTTTTGTCGATTTATTCATTATTTATTACGTTACGTAGATTTTTATCTACACATTGTAGCAATGTGTCGTCTTGCCCGGCTATGTCAACTTGCCCACCCTTCCCTAAAATAAATTTTGTGTAACCTTTTCCTTTTGGCTAGGTCTAGGTTTCAAGGTTGCGCAAGCACCCTATAAAATCAATCATCTGACTCGAAAACACGCTTATGTCTGCCAATAAACATAAATGTAAAAATCTATTTCTATTGTATTCCCGCCTTTTACATAGTGAAAAAAGCAAATAAAGAAATATTGACACCAAATGTGAAAAATGTCCGGAATGTACATATAAAATTAGAGTTTATATCACGATCTCTCAATAAATTTATTTGATTTCTCTTAGTTTGAATTTTAGTTAGTTTAAGGAAAAATTATGAAACTTGGGCAACACTGTAACGAGGAATTGTAAGTTACCTACATTTGGCGCAAATAATCAGCGTAAAAATTATCTAAATCAGTTTGAAATTATGTACATATTTTTAAAAATATTATGTAAAGGAAAACATATTCTGAAAACATTAAACATGTTAAAGTGTTTAAAGAAAATAAGTACATAACTAGACATTATCTTCCTCTAAGTTGTTAATTTGCTAGCATATATACACAGTTTAATGCTTATTTAGAAGGCTTATTTAGCATATACTGTGATAAATAAGTCAAACAATACTTGAAACAAACAACTGAATAAAATGGTTTTGAAACTGTTTTTTTGTGGCATGTTTAAGTTAAATATTATGTTTAATATGGGATTAAGCTGCAATTGTGACTTAATCTCATATAAACATAATATTTAAACAACTGCGAATAGTATATAATTCGAAATTATTAAATAATTATATTCTCTTACCTATTAAGGTTCCATCCAAGTCGAAAATAACGTGTGTCACTTTTTTAAATTGCATTTTTGGCTATTTTCCACAAATAACTGAAGGTGAAATAGGAAATTCCGGTGTCTGATACGGAAAATATAAGCTTGTCCCCTCCACGACCTTGCTGACAACTCCGTAACTCACTGATTGATAACTCTGAGTGACTCTGATGTCACAAAAATTTTCAAATCTGATATTAAGATCACAAAAACGGAATAACTGGAATAAACAGATCTAAAAGAATCAATCCGCTTCTTAACCTTGCTCTTGTATGGTTGTATGTCACCGTAACCTAGGTCAGGCACATGCACATGCGTGCCGTTTTGCGTAATACCGTGTACGCTTCATCAATTGATTAAGCGTTTCGATTCAATCAACGATTTAAGGGTATATTTGACCTTGGCTAGTGAGAAACAGTAATAATGATCGAAAGTGGTAAATTGTATTTTTTGTAAGAATCGCCATAATATATCTATTCATGCGTAGGCGCAGTATACTAAAGATAATTATAATATTTGAAATCTTGTAACTTGACGAGGATACGAGCGATATGAGCGACTTGCCCCGAAGTTTCCAGCCACCAATCACGTGCGGCCAGATGGTAAAAGAGAGTAGAAGCACAGTATATTGCTTTAAAAAAAGAATTTCTTATATTCTTTTTAAGCAATATACTGTGGTAGAAGTATTATTATTAATAGTTAACTCGAAAATTTGCATCCGTCTAAACTTGTACATGTTTACAAACACTATATTACAGCACTATTTTTATTTTTTAAATTGAAACACAATTACCACTCGGTATTTATTAATTAATATAATAATGTATTTGTATAGGTATATCTCTACTCTATCTGTTAGGTATTCTTATAGATAGGGGAAAGCGTGTACCTTGGACAATCATTATAAAAATGTAACCGTTGTAGCGAGAAATCTGAGAAATTTGTAATATGATGGCAACACTGTCTCCACTTACATCAAACATTCGCGTTTCCGTCAGCAGCCATTTGATGTGACGACAAGTGTAAAACGTTTTGGTGTCCGTGAAGTAAATTTTATCCATCTTTATAAAATAATAGGAAAAGCACGGTAAGAACTATTGGTTGAATTTTTTCGGCGTATTTCGTCTTTATATATTTAATGCTCACTGTAAACTATATTTTATGAGAAAAAACTTTACTTTAAATTGATGAGGTTAGATTTAGTAAAACATGTGCTTGGTTGTACCTTGGGACGTTGTTATGGTTGTACGTAGGGACTTGTCCCAAGGTACAACCAGATATTTTTCTTCACCGTGTTAATGTTAATCTTATTGTTGCAGATGGGAAGAAGTGCTACAGGAAAAAAAAAGGGTGAAACCAGATGCAGAAGCATTAGAAGCAGCTGCCAATGAGATACTGGCGCATAGTCGACCTTTGAGAGAAATAGCTAATCTGTATGGTGTTTCAAAAAGTACTCTTGGTAGGCATATTCAAAAACATAAAGTGTCTATGAAAGCGACTTTCAAGTATGAAGCGAATAATTCAACACGCAAAGTCTTCAGTACTGAACAAGAAAACGAACTGCTCACTTACATTATCAAAGCTGCACAGTGGAACTATGGTGTCACTGTTGAAGAAATGCGAAAACTAGCATATCAGTACGCCAAACTCAACAATGTGAACTACCCTGAATCATGGGATAATAATAAAACTGCTGGTAGACAATGGTACCGATGTTTTAGAACTTCTTATAATAACAAAATATCTCTTCGGAAGCCTGAAGCCACAAGCTTAGGTCGAATGGCCTGTTTCAACAAGCCAAACGTTTTAATATTTTTTGATAAATTGGAAGAAATTTATTCGAGATTAAAGTTAACACCTCAAAATGTGTGGAATCTCGATGAGACCGGCTGCCCTACTGTTCACAAGCCAGTTCGTGTGCTTGGCGATATAAAAGCTAAGCAAATTGGAGCAGCTACTTCTGGCGAGAGGGGTATTAATGTTACTATGATAGCCTGCGTTAGCGCTGCCGGAACATTTATTCCACCAGGTATAATTTTTCCACGTGTTCACTTCAAAGAGCACATGATTAACAACGCACCACCTGGAACTATTGGTATGGCAACTTCTAGTGGTTGGTCCAATGCTGAATTGTTCGTTGAATATCTTCAACATTTCATTTCAGTTGTGAAGCCATCTCCTGAAAATAAAGTGTTGCTTATCCTCGACAACCACGAAAGCCACCTCTCATTGGCTGCTATACACATAGCTAGGGATAATGGAATAGTAATTTTAACCTTTCCTCCGCATACCAGTCACAAACTTCAGCCGTTGGATAGGTCTGTGTTTGGGCCATTTAAAAATTATTTCAATAATGCTAGCAAAGATTGGATGCTGAACCATCCGGGAAAGCCTATATCTATTTACGACATGTCAGAGCTGATAGGAAAAGCATTCCCATTGGCGTTTACCCCAAATAACATTTCGTCAGGTTTCAAAGTAGCAGGTATATGGCCATTTAATGCAAACGTGTTCGGAGACCATGAGTTCTTACCAGCTGAGGTGACCAACAGGCCATATGAACCAAAACAAACTGATATTGAAGAGACAGAACTTATGGAAGTTGATGAAGCCATACCATCAACAAGCAGTGCGCCATGTTCCACTACTGGAATGACCCCTGAACAAATTCGCCCATTTCCGAAGGTTCCACCGCGTAAGACTGGTGGAAGGGGAAGGAGACCGGGAAGATGTATGATTGTCACAGACTCACCGGAGTTGCAGAAAATCAAGGAGCAGAAAATTAAAATATGTAAGCCAGTCCCGAGGAAAAAAGAGGCAGTCAAAAGAGCACTAGTTGTATCTTCTTCTTCGTCTGAAGATGAAGACGAGCTCGAGCTTAAAGACATCTCTGATGGAAGCAGATTTGACTCAAGTTCCGAAGATGAAGATGTTCCTGATTTCTTTCCATCAGACAAAGTTGCACTCAATTTTACCATTGGCAGCTGGGTTGTGGTAAAATTTGAAGTCACTGGAAAAGCTACATCCACTGATGTTTACTATGCTGGTTTGGTTCAAGAAAGCATAAACCAAGAAGTTACTGTGAAGTTTCTCCGAAAACGGAAAGTTTATTTTGTCTTCCCAAATGTTGAAGATATTGCCGTCGTGAAGCATTCAAGCATAGTGAAAGTGTTGCCTGTGCCCAAAATACGGCGAGGATTTCATTCATTCAACATTGCCTTTCCACAAAATATTTCTTTTAAATAATATATAAATACAATAAAATACTTTTATTGGTTTTTTCATCATTAAAAAAGTTATTTCAATATTTGTTTTATTTATATAAATACAGTCAGTTCATGTCCCAATGTACAAACAACACTGTCCCAAGGGTAAACCACAGGTTGAACCTTGGGACTAATATCACTGTACACTTATATGGTAATTACTGATTTACTCGTTGGTTATTATCGATATTTTTAATATCAGTCCAGTGCCTAAATCTTCATTCTTTTACATGGATCAAATACATTTCAGTTTCAGATGAAAGAAAAAAACATAAAAATTTAAAAGTAAATTTTGTCCCAAGGTACACGCTTTTCCCCTACTTCACAAATTAAAACTAAAATTGACAAGTACCTAACAGAAAAAATTAAAATATTGCGGTACTCCTGTCTAAGAATTTGTTACTTTATAAATAAGCTATTGATTATTTTCAAAAAATAGGGCTAAAAGAAACTACAACGTTAAAAAGGTTTTATTGTTTCATATGGTCAATGATTCCAAATATGAAAAAACCGCAAAGTGGGATAGCATAAATATAGCAAGTGGGATAGATAAATCCGCATTTAAACGGGTACGCTTTTCAGAAAGGGCTGAATTTGTCCCTACGCACTAGGGTGCATTTGGGTGAATTGTATGCAGTTTTCTAAGTACCTACATATATATGTGTATATGAAAAAGTTGTTCGAAATTAATTTTCCTATCGAAAATGTCCATGCACCCACAGTATTCAATAGTTAATGCCCAAGCACCCACAGAAGATAAGCTAGACGAAGAAAGGATGAATTTTACGAAAAACTGGAAGAAATAATACGGAACTGCCTTAGAAATGATATTAAACTAGCACTTGGAGATTTCAACGCCAAAATAGGAAAAGAAAACGATTACCTACCCACTATTGGAAAATATAGCTTCCATAACGAGTCGAACAACAATGGAACACGCTTACTACATCTTGCGGCCTCAATGAATATGGTGCTAGCCAGCACATGCTTTGAGCGTAAAAATATACACAAAGGCACTTGGGTTAGCCCAGACGGTAACACAATCAATCAAATTGACCATATTGTTGTGGACGCAAGACATTACAGCGATGTTATGAATGTACGTACCAGACGTGGAGCAAACATTGACTCCGATCACTACCTGGTCCAGGCTAAACTAAGGGCACGAATCTCTAACGCAAAAAAAGGTAAAGGAAGCAAAGAAGATAAATTCGAGGTGGGCAGACTATTAAATCCTGAGATAGTTGGAAAATTTGAACACAAACTTAAAGAAAAACTAGAAGACCAAATGAGTAGTACTGTTGAAAACATAGATAATTACTGGAATGAGTGCGAAAATATCCTGAAAAAAGTAGCAACAACAGTTTTAGGAAAGAAGAAACAAGAAAGGAAGGGGACAGAATGGTATGATGCGGAATGCGCACAGGCAACTCAAAAAAAGAATCAGGCGTATGGAAAACTCCAAAACAGAAGGACAAGACAAAATCAAGAGGAGTACAAACAGATGAGATAAGCAGAGACAAAGATACTAAAACAAAAGAAAAAACGACATTTAGAAAACCAGCTACAGGAATTAGAAAGGCTCAATTCACAAAGCGAAGCGCGAAAATTTTATAAAAATGTGAACCACAACAGAAAAGAATTTAAACCTAGAATAACCATAATAAAAAGTAAGGAAACCGAAATTATCAATGAGCGGATCAAATAGTGGAGAGATGGGCGGAGAATTTGCTGAGAAATTAAATATAGGCAACCGAGAAGTGACTGACATAAATGACCACAGTGGAGACGTAGACGATGAGAGGGAGAAAAATAATATACCAACAGAAGAAGTTGTCAAGACAATAAAAAGGTTAAAAAACAAATCCCCTGGAGAAGATGGTATACCCCCTGAGCTGTTCAAGTATGGAGCAAGGAGAAGAGAAGGAAAACTGCCAGACAGTTGGAATGTAGGTATTATAATACCTATTCACAAGAAAGGGGATCCACTAATATGTGACAACTATCGAGGCATTACCCTCTTAAATACGGCTTACAAAGTATTGGCTTATATACTTTATGATCGTTTACTAGTATATACTGAGGAAAAAATAGGCAAATACCAATGTGGATTCCGAAAAGAAAGGTCAACAATTGATCAGATTTTCCTTCTCAGACAAACCTTAGAAAAGGCATATGAATATGGAATTGATATCCACCACCTCTTCATAGATTTTAAAAGTGCTTATGACAGTGTAGACAGAAGCGCACTTTATAATGCCAACAACAAGAATATACCTGGCGAACAGAGCTTACTTTGGACTAAAGCAGTTCTTAACATCACACATAATTAGCAGAAAACCAAGATACTAATATATGAAACTCTTATTAAACCTGTCCTGACATACGCGTCAGAGTCATGGACTATAGTAAAAAGCGACGAAGAACTGTTAGGCCGCTTTGAAAGAAGAATACTTAGGCACATATACGGAGGAGTGCAAGAAAGAGGGATATGGCGCAGGCGCTACAATTTTGAGTTGTATTAAGGTCGATTCAGACACATCAGTCCCGTCATAGTCTCGGCGCCGAACCGGTCCTGTTTGGTCACAGAACTATCAACTATCTGACAGCTGGGAAACTGTTTGTCAACTGATGAGTGTGAATGCCGGCAACATATTTGTATTAAAGAATATTTTATGACGGATTGTTCGGTTCGGCGCAATCACTGTGACGAGACGTGACTGATGTGACTGAATCGACCTTTAATGCTATGAAAAATGCAACATCGTCCGGTCTATATAACTGTGGACGGCGATACAAGGGGCAAATGTGGTTCCAAGAGTTTCTAGGTTAGTTTGTTTACAACGTATTCTTTGGGTGCAAAAATGGGAAGAAATTTTTTTAAAATGACTATCAATCGTAGTATCGGAAGTAGGTACTCACAAGAAGCAGTAGAACTGACAGTAAGGGATGTGAAATCAGGAAAATCTTCAGTAAAGAAGGCTGCAATGGAGCATGGTATACCGAAATCGACACTGGATCAAACTAAAGGGGTGGAAAGGTAGACCAGCGGCAAAACATGCCAAGGTTATAACACAATTAAGTACCTACTAGATTTTACTTTAAAAAATGCAATTATATTTAGACAGGTGTGACTGGAGGTAGTAAAACTGTCCTTTTTAAAGAAGATGAAGACATTTTGGCTTCTTGGATAAAAACTATGAGTAAGTAGGGGTTTGGACTTTTTAGCAAAGAAATACTTAATACTGTACAGTTATATGTTCAGCAAAATAATCTGCAAATACCATTGAAAGAGGTGAAGATTGATTTCTGAATTTTTCAAAACGCAACCAACTTTCTATTAATTAACCTGAGATAATTGAAGCATCACATGTAAGACAACAAAGTGACCCATTTGTTGTTTAGGAATTTCTTTCATAAACTGGAAACAATTATGATTAATTTTTAACTCCATCAATACCCTGCTAGGATATGGAATGCAGATGAAACAGCTTTTAATAATGACCCCAGCCGTACTAAAGTTGTAACTGGAATCGGAGAAATAGCACAAAGGCAAACAGCAGGCTCAGGACGGAAAACTTTAAGCATGTGCTAAATGCGACATTTTTTTAAAACTAAAAGTCAATTATTTTTCTTTTAAATACTGTTTCTTATGTACCTACATAATATTAATAAAACTTACAATATACTTTATCATGAGTCAAAATCATTTAAACTTACTTGAAAATATCACCAGCCACAATAATAACGTGTAATATATTAACTGTTACAATAATAAATAATAATACATTGTACCAACAATAACAAATGCGATGGTCAGATGACCTGAAGAAACACGCCGGGTCAAAATGGATACAAATTGCCCAAGATAGAGAGGCATGGAAGAAGGAGGAGGAGGCCTATATCCAAGGATGGATGTTTAGGGCTGTATAGATAGATAGATAGAATTACACAACTAAAACTCTTTACAATAGTCAAGCCAGGTCACAATTTTACTCTCCCTCCTTTTTGGTGAAGAATAAGTCTGGGAATTCCCCTATACCCCATACTACTTGGGGGATTCTCAGATTTATTACTTAATTTGAAATCATCTTTGTTACCGGTCTATGTAAAATATTACAGATTTATAGACTACTTCGACTATTAACTATTAGATGGCGTTAGAAGTGATTTACCAAATTATCCATATAAATTTTATGTGTAGAGTTGTTGAAGTCGTCAGTGGAAATTATAGTACAAACTATGTGTACTTTGAAATTTTATAGTATATAGAGTTGTTATTATCGTATAAATACTATAATTATAGTACGTTTGGCAACAGTGTTACAGAATGTACCCGCAGTCTCAAATTTCACCCTTGTAATCTCCGGTCTTCATTTGTCAGAAGAGTTTCTGGACACCCTGTATACATAAACTTCAACAAAACGAGTTCAATCAAAATTCTCAACGAACGTCTATATTATCGAACTTGCCAATAACCAGGACTCGACAGGGCACTACAGTAGAATCCTGTATTTCCTTTATTTAACGCCCTCAATCAAAATTAAATTATTGCGTTAGACCCAATTTAATGCTGCATCAAAATTTTTCAATTTCCTTTTGAAAAGTACTGCCTAAAAAATGAATAAATACACTCATAAGCCGCTTTTATCCACGCGTTTTTCGTCGCCTGTAGGTGCGTGGCCACTAAAAACACGAATTTTATAGATAAAACAAAATGGAACTTTTGTTTAGCGTTTCTTCGACGCTTGTTGCTTTCTGATAAAATAGTTAAAGAGATCAGTGACCATCGTACCGTACAATAAGGAAGTATGAATTGATAAAAAATGAATCTGTGTTTTATATTCTTTATACTTGGTATAACAATATATATTTACTTGTTCACCCAATAAATAATTCAAGAATCCTCAGGCACATATACACTACATGAAGAATTAAGACAATGGTTTTTGTAATCATCTGATCATAAATACAAAAAGATGGCAGTTTTTCAATTTCATTGATAAATAGTTTACCAACGGAGTGTTCGAGTGTTCCTTGGAAACAACACACGTCTTCACACATCGATACACGTCTAGTAAAATAAATTTATATCGAGCAGGTCACAGACGTTGATGCATAAAAGGGCACATATAAGACAATTCCTTTATGAGATTGCCACTTTTTTGTCGCCATAAACAGCGCATAAGTGCATTATGCAAAACCATAGGTTTTATAAATAACATGATTATATTATACAAAATTAATACCAAATATTTTTTTTTCACAGAATTAGATTTTTAAACACTGGCACCACCTATTGGACGGTAACTATAACTTTTATTGTTGCCTAGGTCACAGAACAGAAATTAGGTTTTGTCATTTGTCATTAATATTTCGGTTACAGTCGGTGTTAGGTGTCGGTAAAGCAGTAATTTGTTTATTGCGATTGCGGCCCAAGCAAGCCTGTTTTCTAGATGTTTTTTTACTTAGTTCAGCATGATTATAGATATCACTAGTCTTTTCTACGAATTTGATTACTGATACATATACCACTTCTAAATACAAAGAAAAACGTGGTTGATACTTTGAAAATGAACAGTTTTCTCAACAGTCAACCAGGCCCCAGCCGGCCTCCACCAAGTACTAATGCTCCAAGAGCAAGACTTCGTCTTCGTCCTAATCACGGCCCTAATCATGGTTTTGCTAGTGACTATGATTATCAAAATCAGCAACAATTTTCTAAACCTGATATGAATAGGGGTTTCACCAATCATAGAGGTTCACAAAGTTATACTATTTATCCAAGTGGTGTTAGTTTCCCTGCATATAATTTCAATCCAAATCAGGGAAAGCAAAATGAACAATCGAATAATAGACATAACAGAGGTAAACGTGATTATCATAAAAACAAACCTCCAAACAGGCTAGAAAATCGACCAGCAAAGAGAAGTGATAATTCTAACAGACAGGATGTACCGCATCAAGGACCTACGTCACTTAGAGAAAAAAAAGATATTCAAGAAGTTTCTGAAAATTTTCAGAGTCCTTCCGAAACTATGACCACTGAAGCTGCCCATAGTAAATTATATAAGTGCCCCAATTGTTTACTTCTCTTTGATTGTATAAGTAAGTATACCTATATTATATTTTTAAAGACCTTTATATTTTACTATTCTCGATTTGGAAATGCATGACAGCAGTTTTTAGCAAAACATTACAATGGCCTAATACTGTTCAAGATAGATAAATTATTAATATGGTTTTTGTCTCAGATTTGTACAATAATTTATAAAAATAATATGACTAACTTGGCAAACTTCAACTCAGCAGTGGAGAACATGAATTTACTTTACCATAGAGAAATATAAATAGGTTAATGTCTTTTTTTCACATTAGTATCATCATCATTACTACATTTCATATTTCTCGAAGAAATTATAATTTTCTTTCTCTGCCATGACATGTCTTGTAGCTTTTTGCCAATTATCAGATGAAATTTTTCATGGAATCATTTGGTAGTTGAGTCACATCCCTTTGAGCTCTGATTAGTTTGGATGTTTAGTTTACAATGTAAGGTGGTCTTCACAATACTGTAACTCCAAGGTCTTCTACTACTTCATCTACAACACAAATTAGCTTACAGCTTAAATTTTGGGGAATGTAATTGTACATATGTGAACGTAATATGTCTTAAGATGGTGAGGAAGATGACACATCTAAAGTTAAGGAAATGTTGTGGGGCTTACTTTGTTCTGATATAAAAATAGTCAGTTCGACTATTTCTAGAGTCACCTGAAATGGTTTGGTTGATATTGAGAAACAAGAGGGAGTTGGATAGAGCTTTAAAAGTATTCCTGGAAGCTGATTTAACTACTGGACAACAAGCTGAGGTTAATGCACTGAAAAATGAGTTAAAAGAAAGACAGCATAAGGATGAATCCAATCTCATTTTGAAATATGTTAATGGTATACCAAAGTTAATACAAAAAAACTAAACATATCTACCAGGTTCAAAGCCCCCTCAGTCGAGACTTCAAAAGCGCTGGTGTATTTTCAGAATGTCAGAGGGTTACATACAAAACTTCAGCTACTGTTTGAAAATACTTCTTACTCACATTATGATATTTTAGTTTTTAATGAAACATGGTTAAGAGATGACATAAAGAGTGCTGAACTGCAAATGTTTGACTACAACATATATAGAAGAGATATATCCTCAGAAACAAGTACCTTTAAAAGAGGTGGAGTGCTTTGTTTGTTTGTCAGCAACTCAAAATATCAAACATCTGTCAAGATTGAGATTGGCTACATCGACAAGTTTATCTTTGCAACTGCCTAGTATGTCGAATTTGCAGAAAAGGTAGATAATCTAGCTGAAAAGTAACCAGCATATAAGTTACGTATCCTGGGTGATTTTAATCTTCCCAATTGTCAGTGGTTCATTCATGGATTGTCTTCTGTGGCTACTCCATTACCAGGAACCTCACCAAATAAAGTCAATTCCATTCAATTCCTCTCATTTTTATGTTCCTTTCGTAATCTGTATCAAGTAAACACTGTTAAAAATGAAAAAAAACTCCTTATTAGATCTAGTCATGATCCAAGATGAAGAGGTTGAGGTATCTAGAGCTGAGAGTGCCCTACTCCCAGAGGATAGGCATCATCCTCCACTCTCATTTGGGTTTAAATGTGAATCTCAATATTTCAATGAGCCAGGATTGATTGCGAGATAACTTTTATAGAGACTTTAGCTCAATAAGTGTACTGGAAGTAACAAACTTTTTTTCACAATTTAACTGGGATGATTTGTTTAAAGATAAAAGTCTTGATGATATGATCAACATGTTTTATGTTATTTACCTTGCAATTGAAATTGTTCCCTTGAAAAAGTATTCAGCAAAAAAGTTTCCTGTCTGGTTTTCTCAAGAGTTATAAAAATCAATAATAAAAAAAAATGCATAAAAATATCTAAAAACTTAATTACTTGCTGATTATAATGAGTTTTCTTTATTACAAGCTAACTGTAAACAACTGAAAGAACAATGCTATCTTGATTATGTTGCTCTAACGGAATCCTCTCTGAAAGATAATGTTAAAAAAACCAGGAATAATATTCCTTTTGTGCACTATAATAATATTTCTGGCACGGAGAAACCTTTGTAACAGGAGACATCAACCTATCACAATTTAGAGTTTCTATTTCATCTATTTATGAAAAACCTTCCATTTTGGATAGCAACAAGGGGCCAGGTCCAGATGGTCTTCCACCTTCTTTTCTTAAACACTTTAGCTTTTTACTTTCTAGACCTCTTTTTACTTTTTTAACCTGTCATTAAAGACAGGGATGTTCCAGGTCTACTGGAAAACTGGCTTTATTACCCCAATACTAAAATCTGGAGATAATTCTCAAGCGAACAATTATAGACCTATTAGCATTCTAAGTTGTATTCCCAAAGTTTTTGAGAGCCTTGTCTATGCCAATTTGTCAGCAACTTTAAAAGGCTGTTTTATCAACCAGCAATTTGGATTTCTCTCTAGCCGCTCTATTGAACTTACTTTATTGACATTTACTGATTTCCTTATAGAATCTTTTGAAAATGACTTCCAGGTTCAGGCTGTATACACAGACTTTACAAAGGCGTTTGACTGGGTAAATCACAAGATTTTAATCAATAAGTTGAGTAGTCTGGGTATCCAGGGTGAACTTTTAGAATTGTTGTTATCCTACCTAACTGAAAGAATACAAATAGTATGTGTTCAGGGTTTTCAATCGTTTGAGATTAATGTACTTTCAGGAGTACCACAAGGATCACACCTAGGAATTCTTCTATTCAATAACTATGTTAATGACATTGCCTCCTGTTTCCTCTTTGCTTCTTTCCTAATGTTTGCTGACAATTAAAAATTTTATTTGAAAATTGAGAATGATGGTGACTATTAAAACTACAGTATGATTTGGATCGGTTGAACTATTGGTGTGACGGCAACGGAATGGAACTTAATGTAAAAAAGTGTCATTTAATGGTTTTTGGTCAGATTAAAACTCCTACAAATCATATCTATACTATTAATGGTTGCCCTTTAGACTCTGTATCTCAGATAAAAGACCTAGGTGTTGTACTGTATTCTAGCTTATCCTACATCCCCCATATCTCATCCTTCTCACTATAACACCCATATTTAAGCTCTTGAGAGAGTTCAACAAAAATTATTAAGATTTCTTGCATTTAAACAAAACCAGAGGATTGAAGAAATTAACTATTCAAATATGGAAAGGTCCGTCAACATAGCTTCTCTCCAAATCCGATGCATGCACAAGATCTCACTATGTTTTATAGTATACTGCACTCTATTATTTTTGGTCCTCAACTATAGGAAAAAATTAATCTCCATGTTCCCAGTAGACAAACAAGGCTAAATCAACCCTTTTATGTTAGACCCCATCGCACAAACTATTAGCACAATTCCTTCACATTTCATCAAGGTTTGCTAATCAATATTTCCAAAGGTTGGATTGTTATAGTATTCCAAAAGAATTTAAAGCTCAGCTTAAGAACTGCGTGTGATAGCTTGATGTCCTTGTGTTTAGTACATTCTTTGTTAATGTTTGTTATTTCTACCGTATAGTAGAAGTAGAGTAGAAGTAGAGTACTGTTCCTACTTTTATGTTTACATTCTATTTTAACTGGGCGATTGGCCATTGATAAATAAATATATAATGTATTACTCATAATTAATATGCTATATAACTTTTAGCACGTCTAAATTCATTTGTTGGAAGGGTACCACTCATACTAACATGCCAGCATACTGTCTGTCAGGAATGTATTCCAAAAATGGCAAAGAACAATGCTGTTGTGTGTCCAATTTGTAAGGATACCTCAAAATTACCTACAGGATTTAAGTACAGCAATCTACAAGATACATTTTCTCCAAATTTCTTTTTGGTTGGAACCATTTTGTGGCTTAAATCTTATGGAAATAACAGAAGTAATATATCACTAGCACCTGTATCTGGCAGTGATTTGAGAAGCGAAATTATATCTCCTATATCGTCATCTATAGAAAAACACAATGCAGAAAGTAAGTATTAATTTTTTAAAGCTAATGTAAAAATCATTGTAAAGCATTTTAATTTGCGCAGGTTATAGATATGTCTGATTTAAGTAATTTTAACACAATCACTTGGATTTGTTTTTCTGCTACCAAAAGGAAGTAATTTCAAATATGATCATGCATCAAATCCATTACAAGTTTTTGAAAAAGTTGTCTCCTTTTCAGTGTTTCTTCCGGATTAGAACAATAAATGGTATTTGTGCTATACTCCATTCGCTTAGCTCGGGCATATTTCGACAGATTCATTGTCGGAAACCTACAACTCAACAATTCCTACTTCTCAGTATTAATAGCTCAAGTATGCTACTATTGCAGACTTCTTTCTTTGAAAAAAAGAAGAATTATTCTAAATAGTGGAAGTGTATACTAAACCCATCAAATTTTGGTGTAATAATATAATTAAAAAATTATTATAATTAAAAAAATTAAAATCAAAATCCTATTATTTTTCTATCATACATTGATTTTTTATTTATTTATTTGTTCTCTAGATTTTTTTTGGTTCTTAAAAGATTTATTTACAAGCCAAATTAGTGATGTAAATATTTTACATTTTTACACAGCAATTCTTATCAGCAGTGAAGACAGGAAGTCCTAAATTTTTATTACATTTTTCAATGTGCCATAAAATAAAAATATGATGACTAACTAGAAAGTTTAAGATTAGAGAAACATAATAATTTGTCAGCAGGTTCTACCATGTTCATATGCATTTTGTGGACTGGAAATCTGATCTAAACACTCTTATCTTTTATCAAGTATATTTATATCAAGTAATTTACTGTTAAGCATTGAGTCATCAAAATCTTCCTTTTTGTTCTTTAACCAATTGATGATGTCATCATGATGATAAGGATAAAATGTACTGCCATTATTATTATTGCTATTTATTAATGATTTATACCAGAAAATTTCTGTACCCTGTTTATGTGATGAATAGGTTTAAAACTCTATAGAATTAACTGAGTAAGCTGTATGAATGGTACAAAGAATTAAGTCTTAGCGCGAAAAAATGTAAAATAATAACTGTTGTTACTCACCAAAACACTTATTAAACCAAATTGCTTATGACCTTAATAACATTGAACTGAAACATTTGAATGAAATTAAAAATCTTGGCATAATTTTTGACTGTAAAGTTTCTCTTCTTGAGCATATAACTGTAAAAGTTTTTGAAGCACATAGCTGGAAAGTAGGAAGAAATAGCCAGAGTCCTAATAACATAACAACTGTCAAATTGCTGTATTTCTCATAATGAATGTTGTAAGCTAGAATATGCTTATATAATTTGTTGTCGTTTCTTTAAGATCATATTTAGTTTTGTTGAATTTGGTTAATTAGTTCAGGCATATGCGGGTCGTGTCCTGTCTACATTCAGCAAATATCTTTTGCAATATGTTTGTGCTTACTGTGTGTAGTACTCATTGTTATAGGTTCGAAAAATATGCTTTAACAACAGTGGTAAATATAGTTACCACTGACAGTTAAAGGGTTTTAAGCAAAAAAAAATCTGTGTTCTAATAACAAACTCCCCATTTTTAAATTTTAGAAACTTGCTGTTTTTTAACTTGCAATAAAACCGCAACTATACAATGTACAGAGTGTAATGACTTCTACTGCGAACAATGCTGTAATACTATCCACAAAAGTGCTAAATCCATGTGGTCACATAACCGAGTTCCTTTTGAAGGCAATGCGACAAAAAAAGAAACTTTGGAGCTAGAAAGATGTGCAAATCACAACATGCATATTGAATTTTACTGCACTACCTGTAGCGTGGAAGTATGCTGTTATTGTTATATTGAACATCATGACGGACACAAAAAAGAAAATTTGTTGAAATTGGTGAGTATTTATGTGAATAATTCATTATTGAAAGATGCCTAATCTTCTTTACCATTCTACAATAAATTTTTAATAGGTTAACCCATTCACTGCCAGTAGTCAGTTTAACCTCTTAAGCGTGTCGGGTCGCCTACTCAAGTGAAACGTTCGAGTCGTGAATTCGCGTCATTGGCGTGTGGAATGAAAACGTGAATTCGCGTCCTTCGCGTATCATTATAACTTGGTGACAAGTTAACTTTATTAACATTAAAACTAAATAAATAAAAAAAGAGTGTATTTTTAACTTTAATATATTGCTGTATTGGACTGTTAAATTTTTCCAGCCAACTATAGGACGTGAGAGCTTACATGAAGAGTCAAATGATAACGGGTTGAGACTAATAAACTTTGCAAGTACTAAAAACATGATAGTAGGAGGAACAAGATATTCCCATAAAATGATACACAAAGGGACATGGAAATCCCCTGATAACGAAACCATTAACCAGATAGATCACATCCTGATAGATGCAAGGCACTCTTCCGATCTCATAGACGTCAGAAGCTACCGAGGCCCAAACATTGACAGTGACCACTTTCTTGTAATGGCAAAAATCAGAGGAAGAATATCAAACCTAAAGAAAGATAAACACACGAAACAAGACAGAATTAATGTTGATAATCTGCGCATTGAAACCGTTGCGAGAGAGTATAGGAGACAAATGGACGAGGAAATGGAGAGCCTGGAGGTGGGGGAAAATGTAGAGGAACTGTGGACAAATGTAAAAACATAATAACTGAGAAAGCAACAAAAATATTGGGGAAAACCAAACCAGTTAAAGAAAACGAATGGTTTGACAAGGAGTGCCAAGAAGCAACAGATAACAAAAACAGGGCATACCTAAAGACAAATCAAGCTGGATGCACAAGAAGAGCAAAGGAAGAATACCGGACCCTAAGAAGAGAAGAAAAACGATTACATAGAAGAAAAAAAAAGACAATTTGAGCAAAAGCAGTTGGAAAGCACAGAATGGCTAAGAAATCAAAATGAAACTCGAAAGTTCTACAGAAATCTAAACAAAATGCGCAAAGAGTTTAAGCCAAGAATAAGGAGCTGTAAGGATGTAGAAGGAAACATCCTAAATGATACGGCCTCAATCCTAAACAGATGGTTTGAATTTTTCGATGCAAAATTTAATGGCCATCATATCGAAGAAGCAGATAACACCCTAGCAAATCGAAATGATTGGAGTCCTTTCAACCCAAACGAAAGACCACCTACCATCGAAGACGTTGCCCAAGCCATTAAAAAGCTTAAAAATAATAAATCACCAGGAGTTGATCAAATTTGCAGTGAGCTCTACAAGAATGGTGGCGATGCCCTACTACAGACACTGCATAAGCTTTTACTTCTTGTTTGGCATAATGAGACCATGCCTTGTGAATGGTCTCAAGGCGTGATATGCCCGTTACATAAAAAAGGTGACCAGCTCCAGTGTGACAACTATAAGGTATAACCCTGTTAACAACTGCTTACAAAATACTAGCAAATATTCTCTACGAAAGGCTGCAAGTTTACACAGTGGGCATAGTTGGTAAATATCAAGCTGGATTCACTCCAGAAAAATCAACAATTGACCAGATTCATTCAATAAGACAGATTCTCGAGAAAACATTAGAATTCAATATTGAAACCCATCACCTATTCGTCGACTTCAAGGCCGCATACGACAGTGTCAAGAGAACAGTGCTATACCAATCAATGCACCGAGATACACGAATTAGGGATGGCGGTACTATTTACAATAGATCGATACAAGTCTTAGCATATGCTGATGACATTGACATAGTAGGGCGTAGCAAGCGAGATGTTGAGCAATATCTCCTAGAATTGGAAACAGCGGCGAAACAGGTCGGTCTAGTCATCAACGAAGACAAAACCAAGTACATGTTGGTTACAAAGGATCCGATAGCAAATGAGGAACGAGAAACAGTCTTTGGAAGTCATACCTTTGGACGTGTTGACAACTTCACATACCTTGGGTCGCTATTGACTGCTACCAATAAAACAAGCGAAGAAATCAAAAGACGAATAAATCTTACAAATAGGGCATACTATGGACTCCAAAAGCATTTCCACTCAAGAAACATTCAAAGAACTAAAATTATTATATACAAAACATTGCTGAGGCCGGTCCTCACATATGGAGCAGAAACATGGACTCTAACTCCAATTTTAAGGTACCATCGCATACTTTTTTCGATCGAAACTGTAATAAGAAAACATCTGACCCTTCATGTCACCACCACCCATATGGGTATTGTATTCTGCAATACATCTTGGTTTTTCAAATTGCTGCTTTCGTTTGTTCTCACAAAGAATTTGTTGGGCCTTATGTTCCGTTGATAACATCAAAATGTCTCTCTTATCTTTCCATTTTAAAATGTTGATTCCATTTGAATATTTTGAGACAAATTCCCCTTTTTTAAGTTTTGTGTTCAGTATTTCAGGTGGAATATTTTTTCTGTTTGTTCTAATGTACTGTAACATATGTACCATTCTGTAACAGGTCATGTGCTAAACTAATGCTTGTATATTGACATGTCCCCTATGAAATATGTTTTCACACAATTTCATCACAGCTTTTGACGAATGTCCTACTCCACCAATATCAGTATCATTGGCACCAGTGTAAATTAATATTTTTTGAGCCATCCCATTAGGCTCGCACAACATATACAGCTTAATACCATACCTGTGGCGTTTATTTTTTATATATTATCGAAAAATGAGCCTTCCCCTCCAAGGCATCATTGACTCATCGATTGACAAATTTTTCTCTGGATAGTAGATTTCTTCCATGCGTTGGTTAAACAAATTAAGAAGAGGTATTGTAACAGACGGTCATTGGGTATGCGTTCGCCATCTACAGGATTATCTACAAAATGTATTGCTCTCAGAATGGTTTGAAATCGATTACGGGACATAAAATTTCTAAATACAGGAATATTGAACAGAAAAGTGGTATTCCAATAATCTTCTATTCTATTCAGCTTTATTGTACCTGTGTGGTACAATAGTCCCAAAAATACTTTAAATTCATTCAGAGTCACATCTTTCCATGCAGTAATTCTAGAATGTTCAGCAACACCTCTTAAAAAAATCTCTGCAAATTTGTTTGTATGTGTAAGAAGGAGGTTGTAAAATTCAGGTGTAGCAAATAAATTAAAATTAGAATATGGTTCGTCATTCTCAAGATTTAGTAGAATTTGCATACCCGTAAAGTCTATTTGCTGTAAATATGCGTTATCTGTCTAATGCCAAGTATCAGAATTTTGGTTTTCAGCAACCGTAACCTCTTCATCTGAAGACATTTCATTTTCCGTCACATCAGATGTTAATTCATCGTCTTCAGATTCCTCATCGGAATCTAATTCCCCAGAAAACAGCAACTCCATGGCCTCCTGAGGCGTATACTTTCTTTTGAATTGCCACCTAAAATTTAAAACCGAACATAACCTCAAATATTTCTGTATCGATCAAGCTAATAAATTTATAGCGGTTTTAAAATTTACATTTTTGCTTTTTCTCCTTCCGAATGTTCCATTTTATAAGCATCTTTTAATGTACTTGGACGATCCATTAGAACACTTAACAGTTATCTACTTCACCCTCTAACAAAATGACAACTGACCCAAACAAACAACCAACCAACCATCTAGTAATATAATTTAAGGTCATCTTACCACGCCAACCAAATATTATACCTGCATATTCAGCGCTGCCAATATTATAGGCAATATACTTTAGAATGTCTGAAAACGCGTATTCACGTCCTTGGCGTTACAAATGAAACAGAAGACGCGAATTAGCGTCTTTCTCAGTGAATGGGTTAAATATGGCGGAGTTAAGGGATAAGTCAATTAGTATATTTTATAGATGCTAAGGTATGCATCTATTTTAATTTTGTAAAAAAATGGAAAAGATTAACATTAGTAACAATTGTATAAGTTAGGTTTAACATCTACCTCTATAAGGGTAGCTCAGATTCAACATTATTGGAATTTGAGTTCGCCCCTTGGTATCTCCACTATTTAATTTTATCTTAGATTAACAACAAATCGGACGCGTTTAATCTAAGATCGTAAGGGTATTTTCGGCGGCACTTTTTAAAAAGTATATACCGGATGTCTCACGAAAAAAAAAATAAAAATATTGAAATATAGAAGCGTTTTAACACCTTTCAAACTTGAACTTGAAACAATGGCAAGATTTGTTAATCTTCAGTCCTTATCTATTTTTATTTTAGGATGAAGATGAACTTGAAGAATTTAAAATACATAAAGAAAATGCACGGAAAATATTAAAGCAGCTGATTTTCTCTCAGAAGGTAAGTCAATTCCTATTCAACATTAGAACCCTTCCTAGCCTTTCTTTATAATTATGAAAATACACTTTCTATCACGATTTTTCTATCAAATGATAAACTTTCATTTTTATTCGCAATAATAAGTGGTCGATTTATTGGCGCTTTATTTCATCAAAGCCCTCACATTAACAGGATAACATAAATTATGTGCATATATTAATTAAAAATTTTCCCCAATTTTAGAGCAACAATAATTACAGCTGATAATAACACGAATACCGCTTGTCTATAAACTGGTGTGATTATTTTATTAAAATTAATGTAAGATATTTTGCGACTTCTTATTTTATATCAACTTCAATAAAGATAATAACTCATTATACAATTTTTAGAAACTTGAAGATTTGTCTACGTCTAGCACTGATTCTATCGAAGCAGAAGTGACCAATTACTTCTTGAACCTACACGCAAAACTACAGTACATTCAAAATAATCTTAAAGACGATATAACCAGGTCCACTACACTTGGTACAGTCAAAGAAGATATTAAGGCGACATACACGGAGATTGTCAATTCAATAGAAAATTTGAAAGACATCATTATCGCTTGTGATAAAGTGGAGTTGAGAAAAATGAATATGAGGGCTCTTTCCAACAAGTTAAAGGATGTGCAGAAAACTCCTTGCTACCTATTATCAGATAAGAAGTTGGATACTTTTGAGTAAGTTAGGGGAGAGTGTTGTACCTTGGGACACTTTTTTTAATGACCTGTAACTATTTTACTATTTAACGTATTGAGTTGGGATTTAACATAGCAAATTAGCAATATGTTTCTTAAGCACCAATGTATTTAAAAGGTTTAAAGAAATATGTTTAAGGACATAAATTTAATCATTTTTAATTTGGTGTAGAATGGACCGAGGTACAATTTGGTCTTGTACCTTGGACCTCCTAGTATTGTACCTTGGAACATTAATTCAGTTACCGAAATGATGTAAAAAGATAGTTATATCACAACTTAAAATGTATAAAAATGAAAATAGTAAATATGGTTAACATTTTCGACAAGCATAAATAACTGCTTCTTTCAGATCTAAATTTTATTCAAACGAAACTCTTAAAATTATTTTTATAAAGCTTAAATGCAAAAAAACTTATTGCAAATGTCAACATTTGAGCTTGACGAGCTGTTCCACTAATGTAAATTGGAGGGGAAATTTTGCAATTACATCTTCGAGAAAATTAAAGCTTGTATTTGCATCATTGAAGAACTTATCGGTGTTTTTATACCGACGTAAATATTTTAGTTCGTTTTCGTCGTCACAACGTATTATTTCAGCTAAATAATAACGGAACCTTCTTTTTCCCCTGAACTTTCACCAATACAAAGTCGCCAGCTTTTAAATCAGCATTTCCAAACTTGTTCTCCAGCAGTGTTGCTTCTTCCTCTCTTTGAATATGCTCCTTCCAATTTTCTTCGTCACTGCTTTCACTGCTAAGGGATAGGTTTTTATTTTCGGATTCTGAACTTGATGATAATTTCTTCTTGGTGTCCTTAGAAGTAAAAGTTTTTCTTCTTTTTGATAAACTCTTTTGCGTAGAATCTCCAAAAACTTGCCTTTTAGTATTTTTAAGAGTAGTTGGTTTTACTTTTTTTAACTGTGATATTTCATATTTTTCGGGAGTGTCTGTCAATATGTGAGATTTCCCTCGTGGTCTTCCTCCACTGACCTTTTTTCGGTTAGGTGCTTTAGGAAATGGACGTAGCATTTCTGGAGTAAGAGCAACAGATGTCGAAGGAGAATTAATTTGGTTTCGGTTATTTAGAATACTACAACAGTTTTCGGTCTGATTAGCTAAAGCAACACTTGAACAGGCTACAACATCACATGAACCATTTGAAGTTTTAGATTGAACATCAAAGTTCTCGGTTCTTTTAGATTGAGCATTAACACCATTGTTGTTGTTTTCTAGTGGACGATCCAAAACATAAGAGGTGAGAAATTCGTATTCTTGGAATATGTCTTCATTAAGGGGATAAAGCTCCAAGTGAGCTGATCTTTGCTTTATTAAACGAGGTGGATCTTGCTAGGCTTGTAGGCTCCGGTTTTCGAAGTGATAATTCTACTGTGTAACGCTTTAGGAAACATCTTAGCCATCCTTTACCGGCTTTCAAAACCTGGTCAAACTCTAATTTACTCTCTTTTAACGTGGATAAGACAGCATTATACTATAAAGGAGCTCATCAACCTTTGCTTCTTAATAACACCCAGATCAGTATCATCGATTCTGTAAAATTTCTTGGTATTTTTATAGACAGCAACCTTAATTAGTCTTTTCATATTGGTTTGTTAAGGTAAGAATCTAGCCTCAGCATGCTATGCAATAAGATCTGTTTCCAAAGAAATCAATTAAAAACAAAAAAAATGTGATTTATGGTATACAGCCATCTACAGAAAATTCAATTTCCTTATGGATTATACACTAAAATGTCTAGAAGTGGAATGTTTTTTTACAAAAGTTGTACTATTTGCTGTTATAAATAACAATTTTTTAGGTTCTTTGTTGACCCGGTGGTTGATATTTTGGAAAACTATTTTTCCATAGATAAAAATGACGCGTTTGAAATTAAACTCGTTTCTGAAGAGGATCTTCCACCAGATTATGAAAAGGATGAAACAGACAGCCAGTACCAAAATGACGTTGAGAACATTATAGGCTCATTAGGTAAATAAATGCAATATTTTTGTATATGAAATCCTAAGTATATATCATACACCAAGATTAATATATTACATTGAAATCTTTTCATGTTTTTTTTGGTATAAAGTGTATTCAAAAATCCAAAATTTCATTCATGTGTTATCATTCTAGGTAAAAGTACAATATCAACCAATAAGGATAAATCAAAGAAGGGTTCTTCAAAAAATTCCGCAGGTAAACATAATTAATCTGTCTTCGTTTTCCGCAATACATATTTTATATTTTAGTAGGAGTACTAGAACAAGAATCTGTGGAAGTAACACATATAGAAAGTTTGGAGTGTTTCTACGTTCAGTTAAATAAAAATCAGAAACAGTTTATCCAGATGAATAATGATATTAGGGATTTCATAAAACTTGGACCTGCAATAGTGGACGAACCAGAAATAAGTAAGTTTTGTTTCAGTAATACTCGTAATTTTTTGACTGTAGGTATCTAAATTCTATTGCATTTTGTTAAATCAATTAATGATTACACCTCTATATTAAGCATAAAAATTAAAGAACAACTCAATTACACCATCTGCAACATATACCGGGTGGTCCAATAAGCCGATCTCTCGGCTATATATCAGAAACTATTCATGTTATAACTTTAGCAGAAAAAATTTCTTAGTAAAAGTGGCCAAGAGAAATCGCTGGAAATAACTTTCAAGTTTCTAGGTTAACCGCTAGGGGTCGTAACCTGTGAAGAAAACTTTGAAAACCAGTTTTTTGGGAAATATGTCCAATTATACCAAGTGTTAAATAAGTAAACTAGAAAGAGGCATACATTCTGCACAAAGTTGTTCAAGTACTTTTTTTAATTTTTTTTCAAATAAAGGGTGGGGGAGAGTGGGAAAGTATTTGTGGATAAATACCTATAACTTTGGCTTGGATCAACCGATTTTAACAAAATTAGTGTCATTAGAAAGAGCGTTGATGAATTAATTTATATCTACTATAAAATTATTTCAGTTAGTTTTAATTGTTGTAGGTAGACGGTACTTTCGAATAGAAAAAATTAAAATTTGTTTTTCTTCAAAATGTTTAATAGAAACATCTATTTATTGTAAATTATAATGAAACTGGATTAAATTCGTAACAAAATGGCGTAAACCACATGTTAATATCTTTTGTTGAACTCGAGATATGAATAAAAACGCGTATACATAAGTAAGTATAGTATTGACACACCCTGTATTTTAAATTAAATTAAAAAATAAGTCAGTAGGTACTTTCAGATTTTTTTATAGCAGAAAAATCTTAACGTTGATACCTATTTTGACCATTGTTATTTTATATGATTAAAAATATTTTTTTCGAAACTAAGTAGGCTACGACAATGAATTTGTCGGGGAGTTCATATTGTTTATTTATTGACAGCAGTCAAAACATTGTTAAGAAGTGTTATATGTATTATAATTCGCATTGAAGATTGCACTTTTTTCAATAGATATTAATATTGGTAATATTAGTCATTAATTATCAGTACTAATAATTCGTGATGAGTATATCAAATTGTATGATATGATTGGAGTTTATTTCGAATGTCCTCAAAATGCCGCTATTGTCTCACGTATGTATTATGTAAGATATCCTGACAGGAGATATTATGGCAAAGAAGTAGAGATTTGCCGACTACTTATGTGTGGATTATGTTGAATTAAGCAAGAAAATTGATTGAATTATCTTCGGTCATACCTCTACTACGTCGTTTAAAACAAGGACGATGAAAACTACCAGTTTCTTTTTATTGTCTGGCCTTTCTTTCAAATACTTCTTTGCCATAATGTCTGCTATCAAGATATCTTACAAAATATATAAGTGAGGCAATATCGTCATTTTGGTGACATTCGAAATAAACTCCAATCATATCATATAATTTGATATACTCATCACGAATTATTAGTACTGATAATTAATTACTAATATTACCGATCTTAATATCTTTTGAAAAAAGTGCAACCAATATGAACTCCCCGTCAAATTCATTGTCGTAGCCTACTTAGTTTCGAAAAAACTATTTTTAATTATATGAAATAACAATGGTCAAAATAGGTATCAACATTAAGATTCTTCTGCTATAACAAAATTTTAAAGTACCTACTGACTTATTTCTTAATTAAATTTATAATACAGGGTGTGTCAATACTATACTTACTTATGTTTATGCGTTTTTATTTATATCTCGAGTTCTACAAAAGCTATTAACATGCGGTTTACGTCATTTTGTTACAAATTTAATATAGTTCCATTATAATTTACAATAAATAGGTGTTTCTAATAAACATTTTGAAGAAAAACAAATTTTAATTTTTTCTATTCGAAAGTACCGTCTACCTACAACAATTAAAACTAACTGAAATAATTTTATAGTAGATATAAATTAATTCATCCACACTCTTTCTAATGATACTAATATTGTTAAAATCGGTTGATCCAAACCAAAATTATAGGTATTTATCTAAAAATACTTTCCCACTCTCCCCCACCCTTTATTTGAAAAAATAAAAAAAAAGTGCTTGAACAACTTTGAGCAGAATTTAAATCTCTTTCTAGTTTACTTATTAAACACTTGGTATAATTGGTCATATTTCCCAAAAAACTGGTTTTCAAAGTTTTCTTCACAGGTTACGCCCTCTAGCGGTTAACCCAGAAACTTGAAAGTTATTTCCAGCGATTTCTCTTGGCCACTTTTACTAAGGAATTTTTTTTCCTAAAGTTATAACATGAATAGTTTCTGATATATAACCGAGAGATCGGCTTATTGGACCACCCGGTACATTCCTTCTGACCACTATTGAATTAGGGATGAATTATAATCTCTAATTAATTAACTTCCGACACCTTTCATTCTTCCAGGAGATTTTAATGGCCATAATTATTCTTGGGGCTCTCAGAGCTCCAAAACTTGATTGTAATCAAATATTTAATTACAAGAAAATACGTCACAGCATCTGTCAAAATTATTAAAAATTACCTATTAATATTGATTTGTAAATAAAATCATGAAATTGACACCAGAAAGAGTTTAATTATGGTTTATTTTAAATTAAAACGCAAAATAATAAAATTGAATAAAATAAATCAGTCAACATAACCTCAAAATGTGACATATTTGATTTTAATTAAATATTCGAGTTTTAGCGTTCGAACAAACGGCCCTTAGTATTTTATTTTATCTGCTAATGATTCGTGGTTAATGCGGTTATTTTCTACATACAAAATAAATAAATAGAACTTTTTTATTAATGTCAACATTTACATGAAATGAAATAATCCAAATAATTATAAATAATAATAATAACTTAGTTTTGACCACAATACTGTTTAAAATTATTTATTATTTATTTTTAGACCAATTGTATTTGGTTAAAGTTTTAAAAGAAAAGATTTGGTGCCGAGGCAGGGTTACCGATATCGAAAACGGCAAAGATGGAACTTTGTACAACGTCTTCCTCATTGACTATGGCAGCCGCTACACTTTAGATAAATCCAAGTAAGTTTTTTACATATTTTCGAAAGAATAGAGATGATCAGTGTATCTTCTTCTCCTCAAAGTGTCTTCCTGATTGAGGTTGGAGATTAATATGACAAATTTCTGTCGTCCTGAGATTGATGAACTTTACTGGGCGTTTTACGCATTTTTGTACAGCCAGATCTCGCTATTTCGACGTACTTATTTCTTTCTTCTAATTTCTTTGGAGTGATATAATAAGCTATTTATCTCTCTGTCCAGTTAGATGTAAGTTTGTATATTTTAAAAGTGCTTTTTTTCTTATTGCCATGCTTTTAGTTTTTCTAACATTTATCTTCAAGACATATGTTGTCCTTATGGTATTTATTTTATTTACAACTGCATATCATGTTTGTTGTATGTGATCCGCCTAGAGATTGAACAACACAGGAGACAAAATAAACCCTTGTCGCATCCCTCTTAAGATTTAAAATGCCTCTGTGTTCGTTAATTTGCTCCTCATGCTTTTTGATTCCAATAGAGATTCTGGATAGCTCTTATATCTTTCTCTTGAATATTAATGTTGTGTAGCATTTCCATCATTGCATCGTGTTTTAAGGTGTCAAACGCTTTTTCATAATCGAGGAATGTGGTGAATATTTGTCCATTATCGTTTGTCCATGCAGTTTTGTACAAGCATATTCAAGCAGAAAGCTCTTTCACGTGTACCCAGCCCGCTCTTGAACCCAAATGTGTCTCGCCCCTTAGCTCTTCGAGGAACACCCAAATTGTGTCTCGTCCCTTAGCTCTTCCAGATTTCTGAACATTTTTATGTTGAGGATGCGAAGACTGTACTTATAAGTTTATAATTTAATTGTAATTTAAGTACATATGATATTGTTTTCAGGTTGAGAAAAATGCATGTTTCTCTGGCATTACAGAAGCCTTTTGCAATTCAGTGTCAACTGTCCAATCCATCAATGCGTAACTGGGCTAAGAACGCGCATGTCTACATGGCAAAAATCCTCAATGGGTAAGTAATGTGTGGGAGAATGTTTTACAGTTTAATTGTGAATGTATCATATTTGAATTTGAATATAGGTATGATATTCAACAATCTGTTGAATAACAATAAATATAAGATATTTAAAGATAAGTTTTTTTAATATTCTACTATTTTTTAGGAGAAAAGTTACGATGACAGTAAAGAATGAGCACAACGGTGTACAGGAAGTCGATCTCATGATTTTAACATCTGATAGAAGCCAAACTTCAGTAGTAGACTTACTCATACATGCATGTACAAATGCGCTCAGTAATAACGAAGACACTGAAATTGTCACTCCACAAAAAGTAAGTACAATTACTTTGCTTAATAAAAATTCGAAATGGGTAAATTTAAGACCAGATTATTTTTTATCTAGTTATTGTAACAAAAACACTACAAGATTTGTTCCAAACCTTGTATATAACTGTTTATTCTAGCAAGAACTATCGACTTGTTGTAATACTAAGAAAGACGATAGTACACTTATTTTTCAGAGACAAAACTGAAATTAGCCAATTGTATGAATCTCAATATGATCCGTGTTGATTAGGTTATATTCTACGCTCATAAAGACCATAGACATATAGTACAAATAGCCTGAGCGCTGCAATACAGACCTGTTCCCCTAGTGCGACAGAGAAAACTGTCGCTTTATAGGAAAACATAGTTTGCATGAAGTAAGGAACGAAAATGGTCACTTCTTAATAGACTTTACAAAAGAAAGAAATATGATCATTATGAGCACGTATTTCCAACACAAAAGAATACAACAAGGAACTTGGAGATCTCCAGATGGAAAAACTGTAAACCAAATAAAGCATGTGCTCGTCGAAAAAGACATGGAAAAATTTATAAAGAACATAAGAACATACAAAGGACTAGATGCAGATACAGATCATTTTATAGTCGGAATACAAATGAAGCAGCATACCAGTTCTTAGAAACTAGCGGAAACACATAGCAACTATGCCTATTGGATTACTGTCAGAAGAAAAACAAAATAAATATGAAATAATAGTCACTAGAGAATTAGACAATATTGCAGAAAATGGAAATATTGAACAAACATGGACGCAAATAAAAGTATGTATTACCAAAGTAGCGCAAGCCAGTGATGACCAAAGTAGGTGACACCTCTGTACGCTACCACTGCCACTGCAGTGGTAAAGTTTTAGGAGACATTCGTTGGACTTTTCCGAGTTTGAATTTGTATCAGCCCGAGTGTCTGATGAAGCAGGGATGCTGAAATGAGTCATAACACTATTGATACAGATTCGAGCACGGGAAGTTTAACGAATTGGTGGTAGGTCATTATTTATATTATATATATATATATATATATATATATATATATATATATTATATATATGTATATCTTCTATCAGTTTTATCTGTTTTTTATCTTTTCTATTTGATTTATATGTTATATATGTTTCTATCTGTGTTTATTTAAACAAACTCACACATCGTCACCAATCGCAAATACAAAGGTTGCCAAAAACCTCATTACATGCTCCTTACGCTTAGGTGAATTCCAGCTAACACCAAGAACTAGCAGAAACAAAGCACACCTTCGGATAAAATGACTCGAGGAACAACACCATATACAGATAACGACATTGTTTTGTTGACGATAGGAATTAAGGTTTATTGCAATCCCATCTCTAGAGTATATTTATTATAATGCTCTAAAATTAATTTTTTGTTTATTTTTTAGCCCACAAAGTCAAAAATAAAAAGCACAAAATTTGTGCTTTTTTATATATTTAATATGAATATCTCTGTTTTGACGCTCCTCATAGACAGGTCTAACACGTGGTTCATTACCTTCATGACACTTTTTACAACTATTTACACATCCCGAAGTTTGAAAATGTTTAATGGTATTTTTAACTGTTTTAACACTTGGTGGGGGTCTATTTTCGAAGGCAACAATAAATCAATCAATCACTTCGCGTATCGAATGACTCTGAAAGTACCATGTTACAAGTTGCATTTTTTCTTGGACGGTATACAACGTAATAGGCATTTTATTAATTATATGTTTATTCTTTCGTTTAGAACTTTGTTGAAATTTTTAATGTCAATGTGACAATTACGACAATTCGTACCTACTTTTAAATGAATATAGAGGTGGAAACGAGTAACATGTCACAGCGATTGCCATTGTGTTGTATGGTCAATAAAACAATGTCGTCATCTGTATAAAGCAGAACAACCAGAAAAGAAAGATTCTGTACAAATTAAAGACTTGGCAAACATAATATAACCATCGTAAATCGACAACACTACACTCAATATGATCAACCATTAGATATGCAAGGGACATATTTCAATTCGAAGATCTAGTACTTTTACAGTATACAATGCTAAAATTTTCCGAAATCTTAACACACAATAAACTCATATATTTTATATCAATATTCATTTTTATAATTTTCAGTAGTGTAATATACGCTTTATATTTTAGTTTAGCCTCAACGGACCCTACAAAATTTTCCCTAACAGCGTTAAATTTAAAAAATCCCAGGAGGCGAATGTCAGGCTAGCGAGTGTTATTGACCCACACCATATTTTTATTCATATGGTAAGAAATACTAATAAATATTTTATTACTTGCTAATTTTTCGATTCCGTAGGCTTCGCATATAAAGTTTCTGGAAAAGATGAATAACTCGTTGAAGAATAGTTACAAGAATTCAAAAGAAGACGTATGTGTGCCTATTGAAGGTAATGCTTGTTTTCTACCAATAAAAAACTCTAAAATGATATAAGTACTAATATTAAAAGTACTTATCAATCTATGTAATTTACATATTGTAGCTTTTTTTGTCCACTATTTATATCATAAAAATTTCATAACGTTTTTATTTAACACTTCTAATTGCGTTTTAGATCTTTGACAGAGAATAAGCATAATCAAATTGTTTATTTACATTGACAAATGCCTAACTAACCTAACGTAACGAGACCAATAGTCTTTCTTAGTAATTCTTTCTTACACAGAATTAAACAACCAGAACACAGGTTAGGGAGATTGAGAATCGAAATACTATTACGCTCTAAATTATAGGTAATCGTTAAATGTCAATTTTTAAATCTCAAGAGAGGAGCGTTTGGAAGTTAGTACCTCAGCGAGAGAACATAGGGACTTCACTTTCCTTTTGGGGATCAGGAAGTTACCTCGATGTAGAGATTTTTGAGTGGTAGCGGGTAGATACTCTTGTACGATGTAAGGACATCGTAGTCGAAAAACATCGACAGTGGGCAGGAATGACTACTATACATCTATTTAGAGCAGCTGTCAACAAAGTTGTATGAACCAACGTGATTGTCAACATCTACAGAGGGTAGGCACTAAAAGAAGAAGAGATTTTTGGTTCTTTAGTGAGCCAACAATTTGATCTATACACAATATCACCACGACCACTACACTATCTCTTCAGGAGTACCGACTGAAAAGAGAGACTTAGAGAGAAAAGAAATTAAAGAACCAATTATCTCATATCTAGGTACAACAAGTCAAATGGTTACTCGATTCACTGTAGATAGGCTTCTCTGCAATTATATCAATACATTAAATCCAGACGAATGGTTTACCCATGTAACATTCTTATATGAATGTAAAATCGAAACGTTTCTTAAGAATATTGTTGTAGTTTTAAATTATTAGAATTAAAGTTTAATTCTCATCAATTCTATTGCATGTATATTCTTTTGTTTGATCACTGCATCTCAACTGGCGGTATATAATAAGTACTGATGCTATTTTTACATTCTAGGAACTTATGTTGTGGTGAATTACAAAGATCAAATCAGAGGTAACTGGCATAGAGGATTGGTGTTGAAAGTGAATACCGATGACTGCCACGTCTCACTTGTTGATTGGGGATTAGATTTGACTGTTCCTTGGCGCAATATACGAATGTTACAAGAAGAGTTTACAAGATTAGAAATTCAGGTAAAACATGAGTTTAAGAAATGACTTGACACACATATATCGTAATTGAATTTTCAGAGCATTGCTGTGAGGCTGGCTCAAGTAGAACCGTGTGGTAAACATACGACGTGGACTGAGGCGGCAACGGTTTTTCTAGAGAAGTTTTACCTATCCCAAGACATACTCAAGATAGTCGTTCATAACGTACAACCATTAGAAGTTGGTTTGTTTGAAATGGTTGGAGATGTTGATATTTGTATCAATGCGCAATTAGTATTGGAAAATTTGGCCGATTCAACTGGTAAAATGTAAGCAATTTCAATCCTTATCATTCTATTTTTTGTATTTTAATGTTATACTAATAATAATTAATCTCGGGGTTTTTAGGGTTTATTTTATAATGAAATTACGATGATTTGATAGAGCTGTATAATCGTGTTTCTTTTACAAAAAACTAAACGTTAACTGACTAAACATAATGCGAATACTTTCTTTTTGTGTTCTATTCACATCTGTAAATCTAAAATATATACAAAACGGTCAGACCACACACGTTTCAATCTCTCCATGTTTGTTCTCCTAACACAACTCCGGTATTTGAACAGATATAATGACAAGTGAAGTTTTAACGTAGGCAATCTATTTACATAAATATTCTAGGTCCCCTTGCTCGTGTCGGGAAGAGATGTGTGGGTTGGTTCTTTCAAAATTCATATACAATCTGTTTATATTATCTTTACAATTAAAATGAAATGGATGCCATCCGTTATTTATCCTGGTAAGGAAACGAGCTCAGACAAAGAATAAAATGAAAAATTTTAAACAAAGCTAACCTTTATTATTTTGTAACGAACAAAAAATTATTAAAAGATTCTAGGAGAATTATATCATGTCGGAAAAGAAATAAACATTCTTTGTTTAGGTATTAAATTACAAATGAGAAGTGCTTATACGAGACTAAAATGAAAATATTAAGATATAGAAGAAATATATATAAGAAATAGTAAGAAAACAACCGTTTTATATCTTGCATGAGGTTATGAATGAAAATAAAATCATACTTTATCCCAAATTTCGAAATTTGTTCACATAAAAAAATTCTCTTATATAGAAGATATTTATATATTATATAGATATTAATATATCAGATCACTGTTATTTAGTTCATAGATATAATCTTCACTGTTCAATAAAAAAAATAAAATTTGTACAACCTGAGTTATCCAAATGCTTGTGTGGCTTGTATAAAGGATATAATTTTTACCAACTAGGTACTCAGGCTGCGATTTCAGAACGTTGAATCTGTTGGCAGCAGAAACATATATATGCCATAAAAATCTAAAGGATTGGGTGGGTAAGCAAACGGAATATTCGACAAAAGGCACTTATACCAAATAACGGTAATTCTTCGAATTGTTGCGGGTATCATGTAATGGCGCCCAACTATACATTCTGGTTTCAGAACATATACCATAAATCCATAGCTATTTAGATAACATCGGACCAATAAACACAGTTCTGTTGTTGTTGTTGTTTTTAGAGCAGTCCATGTCACTTCAATGTCTGTCTGTACCAAGTTTTCGATCGTTTTTATTTCTTCCTCAAGCTTGATACTTATTTTTTTTTCTGTTCAGTTAGTTGTGAGATGTCTATTTTACTTGTCACTGTTTTCTTTTTGGACTTTGAGAAATCTTTTTAATCTAAAATCCATTATAACTGGATTGTGATCGCTATGTATATCAGTTCCAGGGTATGTTTTTGTAGATTGTATGTACTTCTATTTACTAGAATATTTACTAGAAATTATAAATAATAATAAATTTTGAAACTTTGAAAAATAATTTTAAACTTTTGAAACGGTTACAAGGTATCGAATGAAAGCTGATAACCCAAAAAAGTAATGGATTTTCTAAAGAAATATAGTTATGAACTATATTAAGTTTTGAATACGACTGAATAAGTCTGAATACGACTTTTATAGACAGAAAATATTTTTTGTAATGAAATAATTTTTTGGGCCAGGCCTTTGTAGGATCCTGCACTGGGTACATTGGTCAGAGACTATGTGGACCTAGATATGATGTCGATGTCATCTACATATCTGATAACTGGTACATATTTGTACAAAATGTGTACAAATCTGGTATTTAAATATGTTGTATTTTAATTACTTCGTTGTTGTTTCAGTTCCCAAACATTGGAATGGCCAAAGAATGATGCTGTCAGCGGGTTTAGAGAAGACGATGGAATTCTCGCCCAACGGTTGAAACAAATTGAGTCAGATGATGAATCAGACGAGGTAATGTAGCAGCAATAAAATAGCATAATATGTACGATTTATGTTTCTTTCATAAACTTTCAACTTGTTTTTTTAAAAATACTTAAAATGTTTTCTTTTGTTGTCAATATTTGTATATAATTGTTCCGTATTTAATATTTCAGGAAAAAGCTGACAAAATCGTTAAACAGAAGATCGAAGTTGTAAAATTAGTTCATCCCGGTTTAATCTATATTAAATTCCCCGCATTCGAATCACAAGCAATGCAGTTACACGAGGAATTACAAATACATTACACGAAAGAACGAAAAACAAAACCATTATGGAAACCCGATGAGGAATGTGTTGTTTTTTATAATCTCTCTTTCGCAAGGGCGAAAGTTTTAGAAAAACTTGATGACAGAAAGTACAGAGTGAACATCTTTGACAGAGCTACTGAAGATGTCATAAACGTGGACAAAATGTATGAATTTGACAAATATTTTACCAAGTTTCCTAATGTCGTCTTTAAGTCACATTTGGCTAATATAAAACCTGCAGGCGGAGATAAATGGAGCTTGTCATCGATTGAAGCACTAGAAAGGTAAGATTTAACATTGCAGTATGTAATTTAAAATTAGATTCGATAGCAAAAACGGTATGTTCGTGACACTTTGAAGATTAAATGATCCTTCCTGCACTTTTGTATCTCATAAGTATTTAACCGAGAGAGTACCACGTCCCAACCTATTATTTTTGTGGATGACGCCAAATTTCCTAACCCATCCTAACAACTCACATAACGTATGGTCCTAAAGTTTTGGGAAAAATTTCACCTGGTTTGATTGAGAAGCAAAATGCATTTAACAAAGAAGGCCATGGAATTGAAATGTCGTCAGTTATTGACATTTAATAAACAAAGCAGAATATTTTGGTTTGTGCTCTGCAAAATGTCTTATAAAATTGATATTCATCGATTCATCAGTTGTTAAGTTAAATTGTTGAATAATTTAATAAAAATATAAGATTATTGTGGTCAGAGTTACATGCTTTTGAATTTTTTCCCAAAACTTTAGGACCATACGTTAGGCTAGCGTAATGGAGAAACGGTTAGGAATTCTCGTAAATAAGAAACGAAGAAAATGCAAGACAATGCAATCGCTTGAAACCAGGCTATGCTAGCGGCCTCGAAGGTAGAGGTAGAGGGACAAAACGGTATTTTCTTCGGGAAACCTATTGCATTATAGAGGGGAGTCTTCTAATGATGTCGTTGGATATATAGTAAATAAAGAACACAAATATACACACAAAAAATATACTTACAATTTAAAGCATAAGTGATTGAGTTTCTAGAGTTGTTTGAGTGATTAGAGTTTATCTCAAAAGCGAAATGGAACCGATGAAGGAGAAAGTAGAAAGTTATTGTCTTGTTTGATTTGTACAAAATTACGGGAATTTGACATTAGTTAAGTTTTAAGAATTTGGAGAGTTTTGGAATTTGGTTGAATGCAAAGAAAGAATGTTTTGATTGGTTACAAGAAATTATGGAAGGGATAGACAGACGGGAATGATATTGAAAAAGCAAGGAGGAGGATCTGCTGTGGGACTTGAAGCGAGAGAAGACAAAATCGAAAGAATTGTGCCGATAATTTGTTTTTTTAAACCGGTGAAAGAAAAATTATTGTGGCGAAAAGTAGTGCAAAGAATGTGTTGAAAGCTGTAGTTGCAGTATTTGTAAGTAAAATAATTTACTAGTCTTGGAGCGAAGCATAGCTAAGGAGAATTTGGCTTTCCAATAGGAGCAATAAACATTGTTAGGAGTTTGTCGACAGTTTTGTTTTTATAAGCAGAACCCGAGAATGAGTTTGTTGGATAGGAACTAATTAAAGTAAATCCTTTTAGAAAAATACAGAGGCAAATTGTGGAAACGAGACATTGATTGAACTATATTAAATTTGAATTGTTTTGTGGTTAATTGCATATGCAACAGAGTAATTTAGGGAAACATTTATTTATAAGATATATATATTTAGTGTATTAAAATCTACAAAGGTATTTTGCTCATTTTATTTTGAATTTATTGCACCAATTGATTTCTTTTAGTTATTTCCTTCTACTCCTCTTTTTCTAGCGGAGGTTGGAAATCATCATCGCTATTTTAACTTTGTTGGCCGCATTTCTGAATAATTCTAATGAGCTGCAGCCGAACCACTCTCTCAAATTTCTTAGCCAGGACATTTTGCGTCGTCCTGGGTTTCTCTTCCCTTGTATCTTCCCTTGCATAATCAACCTCAGTAATACGTACTTCTCACCCCTCATTAAATGTCCCAGATATTGAATCTTTCTAATTTTAACAGTTTTTATGACTTCACATTCTTTCTTCATTCTTTGTAACACCTCTATATTAGTTACTTTTTCAATCCACGATATTTTATGCATTCTCCTGTAGCACCACATCTCAAAGGAGTTTAATTTTTTGATTTCAGACTGCTTTATTGTCCACGCTTCCATGCCATATAGTAAAGTAGAGAAGACGTAACAACGTAGCATTCTTGTGCGAATCTCTAGATTAAGGTTACGGTTGCAAAGTAATTTCTTCAATTTTATGAACGTGTTTCTTGCCATTTCTATTCTAGATCTGATCTCCTTTACTTGATCTCCATCTTCGGTTAGCCACGTTCCTAAATATTTATATGTTTTTACTCTTTCTATCGTTGTATTATTGATGATCAGGTTATTTACATTTTGTGGTTTTTTTGAGAATATCATTGATTTCGTTTTCTTGAGATTCATTTGCAGTCCGTAACTTTCACATGCATTGTATACATGTTGTATTATGTACTGTAGATCTTCCATGTCACTTGCAAATATGACAGTATCGTCGGCATATCTAATATTATTAATGCTATTTCCGTTGACATAAATACCTTCCACGATATCCAATAAAGCCTCTTGAAAAATCACTTCACTGTAGACGTTGAATAAGAGTGGTGAAAGGATACACCCTTGTCGAACTCCTCTAAGTATACTTACTTCCTCTGTCAGTTCTCCTTCGACTCTTACTCTTGCTTTCTGGTTTTGATACAGATTCGATATAATTTGTAGATCTCTACTATCAATGTTTTTAGTCTTAAGAATACTTAAAAGCTTCTCATGTTGAACTCTATCAAAAGCTTTCTTGAAATCTATAAAGCAAGCATATATGTCCTGATTCATATCCAGGCATCGTTGTGTCAGAACATGGACTCCAAATAATGCTTCTCTAGTTCCTAGACCCTTTCTGAAACCCATCTGTGAATCACTTATTTCTTGTTCTAATTTCATGTGGATTCTGTTATGTATGATTTTAAGGAAGGTTTTCAATGTGTGGCTCATTAACGCAATTGTTCGATAGTCATTGCAATCTTTAGCATTTGTGATTTTTGGAATCGTCACAAAAGTTGAGAGAAGCCACTCTTTGGGTATGTGTCCCGTCTTGTATATGGAGTTAAAAAGGTCTACCAAGACATCAATATTATCTTCATTAATTATCTTCAATAGTTCAATTGGTATTTCATCGGGTCCTGGAGCTTTTCTGCCTTTTGTGTGTTTTATAGCATACATAACTTCCTCTTTCATTATTTCTGGTCCCGTGGTTTCTCCGTTAATTTCTAATAATTGTTCTACTTTTTGATCATAAAATAGTTGTTCAATGTATTCTTTCCATCTACGTAGTTTGTCTTGCGTTTCAGTTATAGTGGTACCATCTGCATTTTTTAATATCCCGATTGGTTTGTTACGATTTCCTGAAATCATTTCTTTAACCTTCTTATGGGTGTTGAAAGTGTCCTCTCAAGCTTTATTAAAAGAAAAGGTAATGTCTTTGAACTCAATTAAGAACCCTGAGATGAGAAAAATATATTTATTTATCTGGCGTCGACATTAAATTATATACATATATATCTTATCTACAAAGTAAACGAACACATTCGAGTAAAAATCATCCAGGTATAATATGCACCTATCGGTGCCCACACATACGAAAAGGTTGAATGACGTTAACACTGCGATACAAGAGGTAACCACCAACTATACTATACTGATTGAAGACCTAAGCGCCAAAATAGGCCACAAGTAGGATGATTTGGAGTTTTTCGTTTAACAGGCCATATGTTATGAACACTTATTTTAAAAAATAGAGATGTCCAAAGAAAGTGGACTTGGAAATTGGCTTTATATTTAATAACAAAAATGACGCTGTTCAAGACGCAACTTGAATGAAACATTGCGATATTTAGGGGAATAGGGATCACCTCAATAAGAAACATAGAATGTTATTGAAACATTTTTGCAATTTTTTTTTATTTTTTAGTGTATTTAACAAGTACAAGGAGATATGCGGGGCCAGAGTGGAAGGTGATCTGTCGGGAAAATCTATACCTATGAACATGTGGTATACAAAGGTTAAAATTGCTGGCGCCTTGGAACCCTCCATAATGAAATTTATTTCTCTTAGTAATTTGTTGGTTAAAATGGGAGTTGCGTATAAAACTTCTACGACTGCTGTAAAAAGTGAATCTGGTAGCGTCAAAAGTGAAAGGTAAATGATTTATTTATGTATTATTAAACTTTAAACTGTATTAATTTATATATCAGCAATTTTCACCGTTTTTTTGTGTGTTATCAAACCTCCTCTTTAAAATCTAATCTAATTTCCAAAACGTTATTTTTAAATGGCTTTCGAAATTTTCATTTCTATCCGCTGGGATTTTTTTGGATTGAAAAGAAGTAAGAGAAAAGAACGAAATCCTAAAAGTTACTTTACTTTTAGGATTTCGTTATAGTTAAGGATAAGTTAGTTCGGTTAAGTTTTCGTAGGATAAAAGTTTAAATGTTGTTAGATTAACTTTGAGTTACATTTTTGATAATTAAAAATTATGATGTTTAAGTTACAAAAGGAATTTATTACATGGCCATGTAATCCATTCCTTACAAGGTTTTTAACTGTTAGCAATGGTAACAATGGTTACATGGACGCTTGGCCAGTGTGAGAAATTATGGATTGGGTACACCAAACGAGGGAGAAGATCGTCCGATACAGTTTTGTCGGGAAGAAAACCTAATTATACTATAAACAATCTACAAGACGCTTATATGTATAAATGAATTGAAAATGTTTGGAATCATGTAGATTCGATTATTACTATTATTAACAAAAGATTCAAGGAACTTCTTCTAAACAAATCAATCGATCTGCATTGATACCAGTCACGTAGATTCTTCAACCATGAGTTTTGTCTTCGGCTAACAGATCTTCTTCCTTGAATCTTTCCCTGTATTATGAGTCTCAAAATTTCATATTTTGGTCCCCTTATCAGTATTCTAGGTATTCTAGTTTTCTGGTTTGTATAGTGGTGATTAGTTCTGTTTCTTTACCAACCCTCTCCAGTACTTCTTTATTTGTAATTCTATCATCATCATCATCAGTGGTGCTACAGCTCTAGTTGAGCCTTGACCTTCCCCAGTCTATTTCGCCAGTCGTTTCTGTTCATCGCCAACCGTTGCCAATTTGCCGCGCCGATTTTCCTTGCGTCCTCGTCCACACCGTCCCTCCATCTCAGTCGTGGTCTGCCTCTACTCCTATTTCCCACTGGGACCGATAATAGAGTTCGTCTGGGTGGGTAATTTTCATTTGCTCTTGACACATGTCCAGCCCATCTAAGCCTGCCTATTTTTATGAAGGATATTACATCTCTACCATTTACTATTTTTTTATATTTCTCGTACAATTCGAAATTATATCGCCTTCTCCAAATACCATTCTCACAGAATGCGCCCATTATTCTTCTTAGTATCTTCCTTTCGAAGACGAGCAGAAGATTTGCGTCTGTTTTGGAGATGGTCCATGTTTCTGACCCATATGTCAGCACTGGTTGTAATTCTATCAGTCCATGATATTTTTAATACTATGCGGTATAACCAGAGTTGGAAAGCCTGGATTCTTTTTATATTGCATTTTTTAATGTCCAAGTCTCCATATAATAATATTGAAAATATATAACAGCGAATGGTACGTAGCCTGATCTCCAAATTTAGATTTTTGCACGTTAGGAGTGGTTTTATTCGTATAAATGCTGATCTGGCAATCTCTATTCTCCTGTTTATTTCTGCAGTATGATCATTGGTTTCATTGATAAAAGTTCCCAAGTACTGATATTTTTCTACTTGTTCTATCACGTTATCATTAATTGTCAATAGGTGATGTATATTTTGTGGTCTTTTTATAATTAGCATGTACTTCGTTTGTTTAGCGTTTATAGTAATTCCCATCTCAGCACTATTCATACTTACGCTTTCGATAAGATGTTGTAGATCTTCTATACTCGTTGCTATGATCACAGTGTCGTCTGCATATCATAAGTTGTTAATTAATTTTCCGTTAATGGTAACTCCCGCTTTGATATTATTGAGCGTGTTCTGTAAAATTTCTTCAGAATATAAGTTAAACAAAAGTCGCGATAAAACACATACCTGTCTAACTCCTCTACAGATTTCTTTCTTTGAGTGTTGCCCATCAATTTGAACTATGGCACTTTGGTTCCAATATAATGTTTGCACTGTATTTATGATTTTACTGTCAATGCGCTTGTTCATAAGTATTGATATTAGTTTTTCTTGTCTTACTTTATCGAAACCTTTTTCGTAGTCGACAAAGCACAAGTGTAGATCAAAGTTTACATCCCGACATCGCTGAATGTATATGCAATATATAAGTATATGGTGTATATGCAATAGACATTTGCCACGTTTGTCTCCATGCACTGTCCTGTTTCAATTTTGTAAGGTTTGTTAAAGACAAACTTTGGTTCAATTGAGTCGCATCCTGCCTGTAGTACTGGTAACGCATCCAGCTCTCCCCGCCAGAAACGAGTTAAATTTTCGCCAGAAAAATTTAGACTGTAGTTTAGAATCCTTGGGGGTATTAAGCCCGTGATTCTTCTTTTCCTGGTAAAGAGGACCATCTCTGTTTTCTTAGGATTTATAGATAGTGAGTGTTCCTTGCACCATGTTTCTATTAGTCGAAGAGCAACTTGTGATCTCTCACATAGTGTGTTCTCAAACTTACCGCTTTGCAGGACAGCAATATCGTCTGCATAGGCTATTGTGTAGAAACCGTTGCTGTTGAGTTGGTCAACCAGGGTATCTAGAACTATGTTCCATAGTAGTGGTGATAGCACCCCTCCCTGTGGACATCCCCTCGTAACCATGCCTCTAACAGAAACGTCTTCTACATTTATGCTTATTGCTCTACTAGAGAGCATACTAAATATCCATTTGCTTATGGCCAGGGGAACATTCCTGACGTTGAGCTGTTGGGTGATAGTTGGGAATGTGGTTTTATCAAACGCTCCCTCAATGTCTATGAATATACCTAGGGTGGATTCTTTATTATCCAGCGATCTTTCAATTCTTCCCACTACATGATGCAGTGCAGAATCGGTAGATCTTCCCGAAGTATATGCATGTTGATTTGGGTGAAGTGGGTTATGAACCAGAACTTCATCCCTTATGTACCTCTCGCATAGCTTTCTATCGTTTTCAACAGAAAGGATGTTAGGCTAATTGGTCGGAAAGCCTTTGGTAGGGTGTAGTCCATCCTACCTGGTTTTGGTATGAAGACCACACGTACCTCTCTCCACTTCCTAGGAATATATCTCAGAACCAAAGAGGCTCTGAATATTTCCACGAGGTGCGGCAGAAGGATATCCAGTCCCCACCGTAGTAGGGCTGGATATATGCCGTCAGGCCCTGGTGATTTGAAAGGGGTGAAGCACAATATGCCCATTTTACCTTTTCCTCATTAATCATTGTTCTGGCGAGATGCCAGTCGTTTGTTGAGGGTATGATTGTTTCTTCCATCCGGTTTGGTGCTGTTGAGACACTAAAACCGGGAAAGTATGAAATTCGTTTTTTATTTCTTCGTTTTTCTTACAATAATTTTTTGTTGTTGTTTTCTTTTCACGTCAGCCACTAACGGATTGTGGTCTGAGTTAACATCTGCTCCAGGATAAGTTTTAACTGAGGTTATAGAGTTTTTGTATCTGCTATTTACGAGTATAAAGTCTATCTGGTTTCTGACAATGTGGTTTTCTGTATGTGAAGGAGACATCCATGTATATAGTCTTCTCTTAGGAAGCTGAAACCAAGAATTGGCAATTACCATATTCTTTTCTTGGCAGAATTCTATGAGCCTTTCTCCTCTCTCGTTTCTAGTTCCTAATCCGAACTGTCCAACTATATTTTCAACTGTACCTACTCTAATTTTTGCATTAAAGTCTCCTAAAATGTAAGTAATATCTCTAGATTTTGTTAACTTGATTGTATTGTGCAATTCTGAATAAAACTTTTCGATCTCATCTTCGGTCTTATCAGCTGTGGGAGCTAGACTTGGATCATATTAATATTACAGTTCAGTGCTTAAGTTTTAGCATTATTATTTTTCTGAGTTTTGAATCACACCTAGCACTGATTTTCTAATAGTGTTGCTTATATGAAAGCTACTCCGTATCGATGATCAGTTTTGTTTCCTCCAGTGTAATAAATATTGTGGTTATTTATTGATATCTCTCCATTTCCTGACCATTGTACATCGCTAACCCAAGTATATCTATATTTAGTCTCTCTTTCTCTTTAATAACATTATGTAGTTTTCCAGGCTGATACATACTTCTTCCGGAAACTAAAAATGTCAAAACCTGCCCAGGTGCCGATGTTAATACACTGTTGTCTTTTAACATTTAAAATTAAACTGAAACAGTGTACGAAGCCTCAAAGAAATTATATAGAAGTTAAAGCTATTTAGATGTTTTTATATAATATTCACTGATTTGATTTTATTAATATTTTTTTGGTTTTCTATCAGGTCAGTAGTTTCTTCAAAGATATCAAATGGTAATTTATCCGGTTTAGAGAATGATGACTTACCAGGTAAGTTTTTATCTAGTTTTCAAATTATTATTTCATAGATAAAATTACAAAAATAACGTAAGGTATATTACCAAAAATTAGTAAAAACATTATAGAGTAATAAATTATCATTAACCATCCAAAACCTTTCCAGAGTATATTCACGAAATTTAAAGTAAAAGTTCTATACTATACATTACATCTGATCTGTTTCTCCACTATACAGTTAGTTCAAACCCGTAACAAAGATATTATAAGGGCCTTTCCATTATGATGGAAAAGTACAGGCTCTCAGCAACTCTTTTTTTAGATACTGCACAATACTGGTGTGAAGTTTAGAATAAACGGTATAAAATAAAGAAGGTTTACTAATTTATTACACTTCACACATTTAAATCTGAATCGGACTCAAAACGCTGTTACTAATAATATCAGCTTAACGCAAAATTTCCACATATTCATTTCAATCTTTGATAACAGACTCAGTACATTTCTTCCGCGGCTAAGACATAATTCCATATGCTTGATTTATTACTCTGCATAATTCTGTAATGGACTTATGTTTTCAGCTAACGAATCTGCTACATCGATAGAATCCTTACTAGAAGCTATCCCGAAAAATAAACCTTGGAGTGATGCGGTGGAAGAAGAAGAAGAAACACTTAAAGCAGTCAAACATGCGTCTGACTCCTTAGAAGCACCCCAAGAAGTAGAGATGGAAGATTGGTTGCCTCCTTTTCGGATTAAACAAAAGGAATTTTACGCTTGGGTAACATGTGTGGATCCAGGCGGAGTTCTGTATTTAAGGTAAGGTGTTTGCACAACATGCACTCATATAATGTCAACTAATATTACATAAAAGTAATTATAATTCACATTAGTTATATTTTAAGATTACAAAAGGTTTTTAGAAAAACCAAACAATGTTGCAATAAGGATTTTTTTTGTTGCACTTGAATTGATAAAATTTTCAAGTGTTATTTACAGTTCGAATACAATTTTATTATTAAATAAGTATTTGTTTAACTATTGAAATCCTAAGATTACCTACTTGGCGAAAGAGCCTTTGCATATGCCGCTGTGAATATGCCTAATGAGGTTGAAATACGCATAAGCGGCTGGCGGATGCCCTGTATTGAAATTAAATCTAATACCGTCTTTTTGTTCTCTAATTATTTGCTTATTTCTTATGTGTATTATCTTTGGCCAGTTTGGCTACCATACCACTGATGCATATGTATTCCACATCTGGCTACCATGAACGTAGTTAGCTACATTCTACAGCTCTTTTGGTTATTCATACTACCTGCTGATTCCAAGTAAGCCTTCAGTCTAATATCACTCACCAGATGTAGCTGTGTACCATTTAGGCTTAGTTACCTTTGAAATCCATTCTTGAACTACAGTCGGGGCCTGTTACACTTAATTTCTGAATTTCATTAAATTTGCTGTATAGTGCTGTATAGTCAAGTCATCCGCATAGACCAGGAAATAATGCCTGTCGATGCTGAGTCTTAGTCAGCCTTTATACTAGCCAGGTCTTTGCTGCATTCTGTATATACGCTCTCACAGAGCCTATCCTGCAGCATCTTTCTTTTAGATCGCCATGTGATGCTCGTGATGTGTGTGGAATGCTCTATAGGCTCCTCAGCATGCAGTCTATCCATCTGCAGCTTATTTCATCTATTCCTTTTAGACGAATTGCCATTGTGATTGCTTCGTTGATGGTGTGGTGAAATGCTACCTATATATCCAATATCACCTCTTGGTCTTCCAGAACATGCTCCACCCTCTGTACGAGATGGTACAGTGCCGTTTTGCCAGGTTTGGGTATAAAAGTCACCAGTATTAGACTCCATGCTTTTGGTATGTACTCCAGTCCTAAGCTAGTCTGCAGTATCATATATAATTTTTGGTCCAGATCATCTTCCTTCTGTAGAAGTATTGGAATTTTTTTTCCTGGTTCACCACTTCTTTTGCCATACGCCAGTTTTCCCTAGAACCATAAGTCATGGTATCCAATCCAGTCTGCTGTCAGGTGTATTGTGGTATTAAACAAGGATGACTCGCTTAATTCCCATTTTTTCAATTGTATTATTTTTTTCTAGGGAAGAGAAATTACAATCGGCTTACAAAGAAATGGAGAATAAAATAAAGGAGTATTTTGATAAGAGACCTTCAGATTCTACATATAACGATTGGGACGCTGGTGACTTGTGCACAATTCGTTACAACAATATGTATTACAGAGGAAAAATTGCTGAAGTAAAAAGTCAAGACGATATTTCAGTTATAATGATCGATTTTGGAAGTGATCACACAGTTACTTCAAAAGATGTAAGTAAATTTTTCGAATTTGTGATTTACTTTCGTTTGAGGTTAATTTAACTTTAACAATTTACTTTACAACGAATATTTAGTAAACATTGTGATAGTTTTAATGCGAATTATACATCCTGTATATCATAAACATTCCAAAATTTTAATATTGATGTAATTTTAGTTAAAGCAAGAAATTCTCTATGCCGATATTCCCGCTTTTGCCTCTAAGATCAAACTAGACAAGATATATGCTAAAACTGGAGAATGGCTCGATTCAGACTACCAGACGTTCTTGGAAAATGTGACGGAGTATAGCAAAGTCATTATCAAAAGTTCTCTGGACGACGAAATTCCATCAGCTGAAGTTTTTACTGATAAGAAAGTAAACCTTAATCAACTTTTGGTACAGCTATGTGCCAACTTGACTAGAAAACCTCCGAATGATCAAAATCAGCCCGAGGATGACGATATATTAATTGAAGATGATGAACCTATCATTGAAGATGAAGATGTGTTGGAAAAAGGAGCAGAAAATTTACTGGTAAGTCATACGTATCTATAAATTTGGGTAAGTGATTTTGTTCATGAAATATTAACAATTTTTGCTAAGACTTTGGTATTTTTATGAGTTTTTTACTAAAAAAACTGTGAAATTCTACAAACAATGTCTGACCACTAAAAACATTTTAAAAAACTTAATGGATGTCTTATCCAAAAATAACTGAGATGATTGAACTTAAGCCATTATCAATAATATAGCAATCTTCTCTTTTTGTGCTGTCCCTAAGTGGTATCCTCAACTTGACATCAGCCTATTTGACATAGACAACAATTATTATCTATTTAGTTGAAATTGGCAGCTCATCATAAATAATTCAATAAAAATTTTGGACTTATATTCGTACTTTTTAATGTACCGGGTGGTCAAATATCAGAAACTATTCATGTTATAACCTTAGGAGAAAAAATTGCTTAGTAAAAGTGGCCAAGAGAAATCGCTGGAAATAACTTTCAAGTTTCTTGGTTAACCGCCAGGGGGCGTAACCTGTGAAGAAAACTTTGATAACCAGTTTTTCGGGAAATATGCTCAATTATACCAAGTGTTAAATAATTAAACTAGAAAGAGGCCTAAATTCCGCACAAAGTTGTCCAAGTACTTTTTTTTTATTTTGTCAAATAAAGGGTGGGGGATAGTGGGATTTACCACCAAATAATTTTGTATGAAGCTTTTTTATTGTGGCGTCATAATGCAGTTTATTTTTATTGGGAATAAGGCATAGTGTGACTTTAAAATAAGCTTATTTTGATGTTTAGATTTCCAATTCGGAAATCGTACTGTCGTAAACGTAAAATTTTGGCATATTTCCAATAAAAAGAGTAAGCTGCCATTTAAATCAATTCGCCCAAATTTGATTATCAGAACATTGTTAAAATAAAACCAATAAGTTTGGCAACGTTGAACTTCCCCTCTTCTGTTGACTTTATTATTTCCACTAATGCATTTTCGACGATATAAAGGGCGGAACTAATATACCTCTCTCTTTTTATACAGCTGTTTTTCACTCCATCTCACGTAAGGTCCATACCGACCATAAACTTTTACCTACACTGTATACTTGTTAATCTTTGTGTTTGCTATTTTTGCTTATATTAATGTTTATTGTTTTAGGTTGCGGGTAATCAATCAGTAGATACAACAAAGTATAAATACAACATTCATCCTCTTCCTGACGGTGAAAAAAGTGTAGCAGTCTCCATCTTGTCAATACTCGAATACAATAAAATAGCTTTAAAAGAAACATCGACACTTTCAGAAGAGCTGCAATATCTGAACAATGAAATTCAAAAAACTGTACATTTGCAACCTGTGATAAAAAATCTGGAAACTGGCATGCCGTGCGTGTGCCAGTTTTCAGAAGATAAGCTTTGGTATCGAGCTGAAGTTTACAATATGGAAGGTCTAGATTGTGGATTTGTTTTCGTGATTTTCGTTGATTTTGGTAACGTTCAACCTGTGACAGCGACTGAAATTAAAATGATGCGTCCAGAATGGTTTGCTACACCCGTCTCGTGCCATATTGCTAGTTTAAACATTAAAATAGTCGAGGATAAAAATATTGAATACGTCACCAACTTCATGAAAACTATCCCTGCAAATCAATTTGCTAAAATTATTACCAAAGATCCTCTTTGTGTGAGCTTACACAATAAAAATGGGGATCTAAGTTATGACAATTTGATACAAAAAAAATTGGTCGAAATTGTTTAAGATTATACTGTTTTTAATTTCTTATAATGTTATGATCTGTAGTTCCTCTAATATATAATTAATGTAAGAGGTAATCTCGTTTGATATTTGTTTATTTTCCTTATTTTTATAAAAAAGCTTTAGTTTATTTGAAATATTATTGTTCTTTTCGTAATTAATAAACGTATCAAAATACATTGTGTTTTACTTCGCCCATAGTGACTACGAGGGGGTGTTATAGGGAGAAGCCGCTGGGTGGGAGTAGTAAACTATTTTACATCTTTTTTGGAATCCCAAAATTGACCTTCTGAAATATTTCAATACGAATTGATATTTAAAGGCATGGCCAATTGTAGAAGAAGAAAAACCAATTGGAAAAACTATCCTGTCCTATATAAAGGGCACGGCAGATAAAGACAGCAGTTCTAAGAAAAAATAAAATTTATACTATATTTAACACCGACAGCTCAACCGTATTACAATCCATAAAAACAAAAAAAAATTGCCTTGGCAAATCAAGAAGCATACAAGATCTCCTGTGAAACTTGCGACAAATCATACATCGGACAGACCAATCGAAGAGTACCGGTTAGACGAGAGGAACATCGAAACAAAAGATACGACGTCATGCCTAGCACAAAATGTCATAAACACAGGACATAAAATAAACTTGAATGCGAAGTTCTCAGTCTGTGGGCACATCATAGCTGTTTTGGCCACAATCTCCTCTCCTGTTCTTCTTAGACTGCCGTCTCCCTAAGGAGGTTGGCAATCATAATGGCTTTTTTTATTTTTGAACTTGCTGCTCTAAACAAATCAATTGATCTGCATTGATACCAATCACGTAGATTCTTTAACCATGAGTTCTGCCTTCGGCCAACAGATCTTCCTTGAATCTTTCCCTGTATTATGAGTCTCAAAATTTCATATTTTGCTCCCTTCATCACGTGGCCTAGGTATTCCAGCTTTCTGGTTTGTATAGTGGTGATTAGTTCTGTTTCTTTACCAACCCTCTCCAGTACTTCTTTATTTGTAATTCTATTAGTCCATGATATTTTTAATAGGGGAGAGTTACCTAAGACGGGACGGTTCCCAAGTATGGACACTAGCAATTCTAGAAAATCTGTAACAAGTGGCAACACCTGCACTGGAAGAATGAAAGCTCGCCATTCAGTTGTATTGTCACGTAAACGACACGAGGGTAGCATACCGGTAGCGTTCGTCAGAACAAGTTGTTAATGTTTACATATTTTTTAAATTTATTTACGTACAACATTATAGTGAATATAGCGTTAATGGTAATTATCTGTGAAACTTAACGTTATTAGTCAATAACAGAGTTTATAGTCATTGCATTTCACTGTAAAGTATTTGCCACTAAAGCTTTTGTTTAATATCGGTTAAGATTTTTACAAAATGGGTGCAAATCTCTTAAGATGGGACAAAGTTAAACTTCCTAAGTCGGGACGTCCCATCTTAGGAACTAAAATATGGCTACAGATATTCTTCTTATACCTGCCTACTTTTAACTAATTAAATCATTAATTACTCATAAATTCTTACATATAACGGTAATTCATTCTAAAAACATTTATAAGTAGGGGTCAGTAATTAGATTATACCCAGGAGGTCATAATATTCTAACCTTGATTATAGCTAAGTAAAGATAATGTGTCATTAAAAAATGTTTTATTCAGTGAACTCTATATCTCGTAAAGTGGCACTGATATATTTTTCTTTTACACATGCCAAATAGAAATCCAAATTCCTATTACAAAAGAAAAACTGATCGTGGAAACTGGTCCGTTCAAAATATGATTCTAGCTGTACATAAAGTTCGGAATAACGAACTATTGCTTCGAGAAGCTGCTGACAGATATAATATTCCTAAAAGTACTCTTCAAAGACGAGTTCAACAAAAAAAAAAAAAATAAATCGTGACCGAAAATGACAAATATCTTGCTCGGTTTAGGCAAATATTCTCAGTTGAACAGGAACACGATATTTTAGATCATATTCTTGAAATGGAAAAGCGATTTTTTGGAATCACTTATAAAGAACTTCGTTGTCTGGCATTTGACTTTGCCCAAGCCAATAGTATTGCTAACAATTTTAATAAGGATACTCGAATGGCCTCTAAAAAGTGGGTTTATGGGTTTTTGAGTCGACATAGAAATATTTCTCTGAAAAAACCAGAAGCAACCTCATACGCTAGAGCTACAGGATTCAACAAGAATGCAGTCCAAAGCTTTTTTCAACAACCTGGAAAGTATTTATAATAAACATCACCTCACTCCAGATAGAATCTGGAATATTGATGAGACCGGAGTGACCACCGTCCAAAAATTATCTAAAGTTCTTGCTCAGAGGGGTAAAAAGCAAGTGGGAGGTTTAACAAGTGCCGAAAGAGGAGTTAATGTCACTATAGTAGCTGCTATGAGTGCAAGTGGCAATTTTCTTGCGCCTGCATATTTCCCAGAAAGAAAATAACACAACAAACCAGACCTTCGAAGTAGTGCAAAATTCTTATTATTTTGGACGGCCATTGTTCACATACAAAAAGTTTAGACGTTATAAACTTCTGTCGCGAGAATGGTATTATTTTATTATGCCTGCCACCACCCTGTACGCATACAATGCAACCCCTAGATGTTTCGTATTTTAAATCATTTATGAGTTATTATGATTTGTACCTTACTAGATGGCTAAAAAATCATTGTGGTCGTACATTTGGAATATATCAAATCTCAGGGGCTGTTGCAGAAGCATTCTCAAAGGCATCTTCTGTACAGATAGCGACAAATGGATTCCGAGTAACCGGTATTTGGCCTTTTAACCAAGACGTATTTCAAGACTGCGAATTCGCTCCCTTTAAAACGACGGAAACAATCAGTGGACAATGAAACTACATCACAGGTTAATAAATTACCCGTAATGATGGCTCATACCGAAGGCGTAAATCAAGTTGAAATGTATGATAATCCGATTCCTTCAACCTCAAAACAGTCTGTTTTAAGGTCACCTAAAGATGGCGATTCCGAAGATAGCAGACCGATACAGAGAAGCCAAATCATTCCTTTCCAACATCCAAGGTAAAAGTGACTGATATTAGTCCGCTACCAAAGGCACATAAAAAGAAAGGTAAGCCTTCTTCTAGACATTCTCTGAAATTCACGATACTCACAGAATCGCCGTATAAAAATGAATTAGAGACGTTGCAATCCACAATCCCTATTAACAAGGTTAAATCTGTGAAACGAACTGTAGTTATGGACTACAGCGGTCGAAATGCAAATATTAGCAATATCACAGTCGTCACTTCAACTAAAGATGATTCAAACTGCATTTTATGTGGAAAGAAGTACACAGAGAGTAGTGAAGACTGGTACAACCGCAAAATATGTCCAAATTGGGCTCATGAGTCTTGTGGAGTAATGGATGATCTCTATTTTATTTGTGGAAGTTGTATATGTAATAATGTAATGTCCCTTTTTGAGAAACCCAACGGACCACCTTAGGATTCCGGTTTCTCATGATGGGACATTCACACTTTTTTTTTAATAACAATAAACGAAGCATATTTTTTATTTAGTTTATATCTAAAATGTGTTAATAATTAGAATAAAGTTTCATTTTATTACCTCAACTTTTTTTTAATATCTATAGATTTTCAAGTATTTGTTATAAAAAAAAACTGTCCCAACTTGGGTGACTTTCCCCTACTCTGAATTTAATACCTCTACTGTTAGAATCTGTCTATTTTCCAGCATTGCTTTGATCCAGTTGCATATGGTAGTTGATGTCATTTTAAATGCTAAAGAGCTTTGTTAAAATATAAAATAAAATTTACAATCCTTTTTGTATTAGTACATAATACATGAGTCTGCTTCTCAATAATTGTTGACCACCCTGGGAAGTGGTTTTTAAAAAAAACCTCTTACATTTCCTTTTTAGATTCGGCAAAGGTGCCATCAGGTTTTTTTAAATGGTCCTTGTCCCTGTGCTGAATCCTTCGAAATTATCTTGTGGACTCTAGTGCTGGCTGGTATATATGTGTCAGAACCTCCAATATTTCCTTTCAGAAACAATAAAACGAAAAGACACTGACATAACTGCAAAAATTTATACATCTACTTTTGGATACACAAAAGACACTTCTATAATACCATACGGCTCAATACTTCCCCTTGTTCTCCTCTGGAATCCATCTATTCCATACCGGTCATACTAAAACCATTTTCCGTTAACTATTGTAAAAGTCTTCGGTACTTACGAATTATCGACTATACCAACAACCAAAGAGCTGTTGAAGAAAAATACTTTATATGCCACCTCAGGTATCCAAACTGAAGGTCCTCAACATTTCGAATCAAGTCCAGAGCAAAAGTCAAAAATTACAGAAAATAAATGTCATTATGTAGATATTATCAACTTAACTCCAATATACACCCAAATATACAAGTGGTTGACTATATTAAAGAGAAGCTAGGTATCAAGGAATATATTAGATGTTATGCCCTTCTTAAGATGCCGACGCAGCGAGTGGTTTTTCATTCAAAATAGGTAAAAAATCGAAAATCACCATTGACTTATTATTTAATAAGGAAATTTGGCCACCTGGTCTAAATATTCGAAACAATCGAAAACCTCCATTGACTTATTATTTCATAAGGAAATTTGGCCACCTGATCTAAACATTTAATGGTCTATAGTTTTTTCATATTCCGAACCAACGCCTTCATGTGAGTCAAATGTGAGTCCGAAGAACATCAGAAGCCTTATTAGCTTGGAAAATCCAATTACCATTAAGTAACAACAAACATAAAATAGAAAACACAAAAATACTCACAACAAGTAGGCCATGGAAATGCAAATGCAAATCTAAGAATGCTTTCCATTCCTATATTAATTTAATTAAGTTAGATACTTTGGAACGATCGATAAATCTGGATCCTTTGACCCCACCAAGAGTTAGATTAACCAATAACTCGAGCAATCGATATTTTCTACCAAGATTAGGGGAACTGGATATCTTAAAAGCCATTGAGCTTCATCTTGCTTTTCTACACGACCAACCTGCTTCAGTATGTTACAATGGATTTACCAACACAAGCGTTAAACTCTTTTTGGCTTCCGAAGGACTTCCCACTAAGACTAAGGATCTACGAAAAATCCTTCTAGAATTAAACGATACGTATGGAATTTATCCAACTGAGGTGCAAGCTGATCTTGCTGCTTTTAGATCATTTCTTACTTCGGAAAGAATTGCTTTTTCAGTAAAATTGTATTATCTAACAATAAAACACTCAACACTTCCACAAAATTTATTTTAAATTATTATCACTACAGCTGTTTCGGCCAGAGTGCCTTTCTCAAGTGATCTATTTTTGGTATGCGTTTACACTTTATAGTCTTTAACTGAATAAGTTTAGGAGAGGAGAACTGTTTGTCTTAAGTTGGTCATTCAATATTATGTCTGCATTTTTTAATTTGTTGATTTCCATAGATATTCTAATAGGGATAGTTTAAGGCCTATATTTTGAATGTGAAGAATTTGAAATTCGTCATTAAAAGAATGATTACGCTCTAGAAGGTGTAGTGCGTACGTAGAGTCTGTTGTTCTAATATTGAAAGCCTTTTTATGTTCTGCTATTCGTTTGATACAAGTTTTACCAGTTTGACCGATGTTTTTGGACAGTCGCTACATTTAAGTTTGTACACACCGCTGTGTAATTGCTTTTTCTTTTGGCTCTTGTTATTTTTAATATATTTGCTTAAGTTGTTGTTTTTCAAAAAGCTGGTGTTATTCCTGTCTTTTTATGTATTTGGGCTTTTTTTGTTGATATCTTGCCTGCATATGTAATCGAACAGAAGGTACTGGGTTTTTCTCTGGTGGTAGAAATACTAATTGCAGGGTTTCTTATGTAGTTTTTGATTTAAAATTTTATTTTTTGTGTGTTCGTTGTACCATTGTTTATTGCTATTTGCTTAATGATATTCAGTTCTATTGCGAAGTTATTTTTTGACATGGGAAGTTCTATTAATCTATGTAACATGAACATGCTATGGTAGGCAGTCAATTTATGTTGTCTAGGATGGGATAATGAATTGTATATAGTAGTGTCATAATTTTTAAATCTAGAAAATTTATGGATTGATTCTGTTCTGTTTCTATTGTGAATTCAATATGATAAGAATTGGTCAAGTTGTCTGTTAGTTCTGAGACAGAATTGGTCTCGAAGGCGAAAGAACCAAGAAAGTGGTCAACGTCAACAAGACATTATTGATTATGGTAATTGGAGACCAAAATTCGACAGGGGAGGACAACCATCAGGACGCAAGGCCTCTTCGGTCGTCAACATGCGAAACCCTTGCACAAAATACCATAAAAAAATACTTAACCCTCTCAGATAAAAATAGCTACCTGGAATGTAAGAAGTATGTATCAGCCTGGAAATTACATATTGTTATTAAAGAGAAAGAGGGGCTAAATATAGATATACTTGGGGTTAGCGAGGTACAATGCCGTACCTCGGAGGTAAAGGACACTATGTCCATTTTCTTACTTTTTAAGGAGAGCAGTTTTAACATTTTTGAATTTGTGATCAGTAAATACTCAAATATTTCTGATATTTAACCAAAATTAATATATTATATTAATTTTGGTTAAATATCAGAAACATTTGAGTATTTACTGATTACAAATTTAAAAAATGTTAAAACTGATCTCCTTAAAAAGTAAGAAAATGGACATAGTGTCCTTTACCTCCGAGGTACGGAATGGTACATTACAATGGTAGTGAAATGGAGAGATATCAATAAATAGCCACAATATTTATTACACTGGAGGAGACAACGATATCATCGATACGGAGTAGCCTTCATCATAAACAACACTATTAGAAAATCAGTGCTTGGTGTGATTCAAATCTCAGAAAGAATAATAATGCTAAATTCAAGCACGGAACTGTAATATTAATATGATCCAAGTCTATGCTCCCACAGCTGATAAGACCGAAGATGAGATGGAAAAGTTTTATTCAGAATTGCACAATACAATCAAGTTAACAAAATCTAGAGATATTACTTACCTTTTTGGAGACTTTAATGCAAAAATTGGAGTAGGTACAGTTGAAAATATAGTTGGACAGTTCGGATTAGGAACTAGAAACGAGAGAGGAGAAAGACTCATAGAATTCTGTCAAGAAAAGAATATGGTAATTGCCAATACTTGGTTTCAGCTTCCTGAAAGAAGACTATATATATGGACGTCCCCTTCACATACAAAAAACCACATTGTCAGAAACCAGATAGACTTTATACTCGTAAATAGCAGATATAAAACTCTATAACATCAGTTAAACCTTATCCTGGAGCAGATGTTAACTCAGACCACAATCCGTTAGTTGCTGACGTGTAAATAAAATTAAAAAGAATTGAACTCAGAAAACAACAACCAAAAATGAATGTAAGAATATTAAAAAACAAAGAAATAAAAAACGAATTAAAAAATAATGTGAATGTTGATATGCAAAAAATACTAACTGACAACAAACAAATTATGGATGTAAATAAAAAGTGGTATAATATAAAAAATACATTACTGAAACCAGCTCAAGAAAGTTTGATACAACATAGGCCAGAGGCTAAAAAACAAAGGATGACAGAAGAAATACTATTACAAATGGAAGAGGGAAGGAAATACAAAGGAAAAGATCTGCAGAAGTGAAGTATAAAGAAATACAACGAATAATTAAGGAAACAATCAAAACAGCTGAGAAAATTTATTTGATGAAACAGTGTAAAGAGATGAAAGAACTAGAAACAAAATATGATATGAGAAATATGCACAAAAAAATAAGAAAAGTGACTGGAATGGGTCGAAATAGACAGCAAGGACACATAAAAGACAACTAAAACTACTAATAGATTTAACAGAGAAATTAAGATGATGGGAGAGTACGTTAGAGAACTTTTCCAAGATGAAAGAGGTGAAATGCAGAAAATACAAGAATAAAATCCTTTAGAGAGGCAGAAGATCACGATAGATGAAATCAAATATGCTATCAAAAACTCTAAAGACAATAAGGCAGCTAGATTAGAACTGTTAAAACTAGTGGAAGAGGATAACTTGGAAGTATTGGCAGATTTATTCAACACGGGGTAAAATACGGGAATAATACCACAAGAGTGGCTGAAGTCAGCATTTATAACCATCCCTAAAAAACAGGCAGCAAAAGAGTGCTCTGATTATCGAACACTGAGCCTCATGAGTCATACCTATGTGGAGTACCCATTCCGAAATGGAATGGGTACTCGAGAAGGACTATTTACCATCAACATATTGATTCAGCGATGTCGGGATGTAAACGTTGATCTATACTTGTGCTTTGTTAACTACGAAAAAGCTTTCGATAAAGTAAGACATGAAAAACTAATATCAATACTTATGAACAAGCGCATTGACAGTAAAATCATAAATATAGTGCAAACAATATATTGGAACCAAAGTGCCATAGTTCAAATTGATGGGCAACACTCAGAAGCAATGAAGATCTGTAGGGAGTTAGACAGGGATGTGTTTTATGGCCACTTTTGTCTAACTATTATTCTAAAGAAATTTTCCAAATTAAGCTCAATAATATCAAAGCGGTAGTTACCGTTAACGGAAAATTAATTAACAACTTACGATATGCAGACGACACTGTGATCATAGCAACGAGTATAGAAGATCTACAACATCTGCATCGAAAGCTTAAGTATGAATAGTACTGGTAAACTAGTATGGGAATTACTATAAACGCTAAAAAAACGAAGTACATGCTAATTACAAAAAGACCACAAAATATATATCATCTATTGACAGTCAATTGTAACGTGATAATACAAGTAGAAAAATATCAGTACTTGGAAGCTTTGATCAATGAAACCAGTGATCATACAGCAGAAATAAACAGGCGAATAGAGATTGCCAGATCAGCATTTATACGAATGAAGCCACTCCTAACGTGCAAAAATCTAAATTTGTTGTTATATATTTTCAATATTTTCAATATGGAGCTTAGACTTGAATATTAAAAAAATGCAATTTAAAAAGAATAGATGGTTTTTGAACTCTGGTTATACCGTAGAGCATTAAACATATCATGGACTGATAGTATTACAAATAAAAAAGTACTGGAGGGGGTTGGTAAAGAAACGGAACTAATCACCACTATACAAACCAGAAAACTGAAATACGTAGGCCACGTGATGAGGGGACCAAAATATGAAATTTTGAGACTCATAATATAGTCTTTTAGACTCACTCTAAAAAAAGATGTATACAAACTGAAATGGTCAGACTGGTAGAACTTTTATTAAACGTATAGCAGAACATAAAAGAGCTTTCAATAATAGAAAAACAGACTCTACGTACGCACTTCACCTTCTAGATCCAGACCATAATCATTTTTTTAATACGAATTTGAAATTCAAAATAAAGTCCACCTTCCCCTAAACAGTTCTCACCTCCTCAGCGTGTGTAAACACAATCCAAAAATATATCACTTGAGAAATTTCTTTGAATGAAATGAATTTCCTTCAAGTAACGGTCGAATCCATCACTTATTTAAAATTATATTACATATTTTTATCACCAAATTTATCAAAAGCAGTTGTTATTAAAGAGCGTCTTGGGAAATATCGTTATTTCTGTGGTCCTTTCTGACATTTTTAGCAGTTTGTTTACATAATCTCCTATATCTTTTCTGCTTGGTTTTTCTATAGTTAAATTTTTTTTACATGTTTTTCTCTAATACTTTTCATCTTCAGAGAATTTCTTTTGCAAACCTGATCTATGGAAAGGAAAATACAATGAAAATCCCAATTAAATCATACCTACCCATTAAGTTTAGATAACAGGACTGATAGAAACGAGATAGTTTGCCTACTCCTTAACTTTTTCGTGACACGGTACCCCTCTCAAAGAGAACCGACTGAAGTCTGTTCAAACATTATGAAGACTAGTTGTTCGCGAGATGTCGATTCTGTAATTTACTCATAACTTTCTAAACGTAATAAGTATGTATTGGAAGACGTGTTTTGTGCAAACTGTGATACTTATTTTAGGATATTTCATTATAACCGGTAAGTTTTATAGAAACTATAAATTATTTTCATTAGTTTCTTTAATTATAATTTTTATTTTTGACGTAGATAATGTTATAAATTATGTAGAAAATGAAAGTGGCATTACTGTTTTGTTGTTAATACAAAATGTGGGTGTGTTGATGAACATAAGAGGAAGTCGTTTTGTTTACATGCGTTTATTTAGGCGATTTTGGCATTTTGAAGTAAACATGAGGTAATACTAAATATATAGCAAAATATAGCTTCTATAACTATTACCAGTAAATAATATGAATTATGTAAATACAGGAAGTTAGAACTAAAAGTAATTGGTAAAAGTTTTATACATTTTAACATATTTTTACCTTCCGGAAGTACAATTTATCCATTAGTCTTACCGTTATTAACCCTTTAAGGCGCAAAATTATTTTCTTGCTAAACTGAGTTGAAAAGTGCATTTTTACACAATAATATGTACACTAAGTAGTAAACATTAAAGGAACAACAATCATGAAAGTTCTTTGGTATATATGGTATACCGAAACCATTCAATATTATTTATTATAAAAATACATTAAAAATACAAACAGTATCAAATCAAAACATTATCTAAATAAAACAATATATAGGTAAAGAAATAATAAATAAGACTTACTCACAATCAATTTAATTTAACTATCAGACGACCGGTTTCGCTTTCTACAATATGCAAAGCATCTTCAGGTCTCGATACAAAGTTAAATAAATGCTGAAATGATAAAAACCCATATTAGGGTGTTGTCTAATAAAGATAAACAAATTAGATGTTGTAAATTACAATAATTATGCCAATATTACATGTCTATGGTTTTATTTCAAAATGAGTAAATTGAATAAAAAGGTATAAAAAGTTTTAAAAGTTTAAACAGACAAGGTAAGACCCACAAATTGTTATAAAATAGTCTATTAGATTGTAATAAATTAATAAATGAGCAAATAAATAAACATTATGAGAAAAGGCAGCAAATATTTGATTTCACGCAAACAAATCCTATGTATCTCTTGATACGTATTTCGACCTAATAGGTCTCGTCAGAAAAGCTATTCATAGGGGTTCTCAACGTGAAAAATCAATATTTTCTGCCTTTTAAGAAGCAACAAGAACATGGCTTCAATACGGACGCAATAGCGACATCTAATTAGAAAATCGTAAAATAGTTTCGAAACACAATTCAGATTTCTGCTTTATAATCTGAGCCTTCTAAAAATTGCAAGGCAAACAGACGTTGATAAAAGATGTTAAAAGAGACATGGGGAATCTAAAATTTGTATTCCACGACATGTCTTTTACAACTAAGCAGAAATCCTTAGCGAATTGTGCTTCTAGTACTCACACAGAGTAAATCCGAATAAAATGAGAAAACGCAGCAAATATTTGATTTCACGCAAACAAATCCTATGTATCTCTTGATACGTATTTCGACCTAATAGGTCTGGTCAGAAGAGCTATTCATAGGGGTTCTCAACGTGAAAAACGTTTTAACATCTTTTATCAACGTCTGTTTGCCTTGCAATTTTTAGAAGGCTCAGATTATAAAGCAGAAATCTGAATTGTGTTTCGAAACTATTTTACGATTTTCTAAATAAACATTACTTACATGCCGGTACTCTATTAATTGATGGATGGTAGAACATGGTTGAAACTACTATGTATTGTTGAATGGAGAACTCAATTCTGCTATTGTAGTTGTTTGACAGTAAACGGGAAGTTCTTGAGGAGATAGAGTTGATCCAATGAAGCAGAGATATGTGTGTGATTGTTTGTTAAATGAAAGTGATGTTATATACCATTGTATTATTTAAAAGTTATTTATACTTATTCGAGAGATATATTTTTATGAAATGTATCTCTCTACATTCACATGAATGGAGTCATGTGAAAAGAATGGACGACGACAGGCTGCCAAACCGAATTTTAAAATGGACGCCAAGGGAAAGAAGGAAGAGAGGAAGGCCAAAACAATCCTGGCTGGGCGGCATTCAGAAGGCAATGTCGGAAAGAAACCTTCACCCTGGCGAATGGAATGACCGACGTAGCTGGAAACTGGGAACCGAAAGGCGGAGAACGCTATAAAAAACCGGGATAATAAAAAAAAACTAAAAGTTTTGTTATCCGGTGTACGTCTCGTGATTTGAATATGTGGCCCATCGCGAAATAGGCTTTATTTGCCAGCACAAGCCTTCTATTTATTTCCGGTTCTTCTTCATTGCTTGTGACCAGATCCATTCCTAGGTATGTGAATCTATTCACATGTTCTATATCGTCAATAAAGTGTTGTTGCGCCGGTCTATTAGATCTGGTTTGTATGAGTAGTTTGGTTTTATTTGTATTTATTGCTGGCCCTACTGCTTCTGCACTCTGTTTCAACTCAACGTAGGTTTCTTCCGCTGCATTCACTGTTCTGCTCATTATGTTTATATCTGCGTATACTGCTAATTGGGTAGATTTGTTTGTAAGTATGTTATTTCTGCTGACCGTCAACCGTCTAATTACATATTCAAGAACAAGATTAAAGAGCGTTGGAGCCAGTGCGTCGCCTTGTTTCAGTCCTTGCGTTATTGTAAACGCATCAGTGATCTGTCCTTGAATACAACATACCTGTGCTTCTGTTTCTGTCATTGTCATTTGCACTAGTCGTATTAATTTTGTTGGTATGCCAAATTCTTCCAATATATCAGATAGAATTGTTCTATCTATTATATTTAATTTTATTAGTAAATGGCGTATTTGATTTGCACTTCGTATAATTAGTATATCATGTTACAATTATAAGTCACCCTTAACAATTTCTTGTGTCGGAGTATAAAAGACAGATCAGTACGAAATTGTCCCATTCCAAAGCATTTTAGAGACATTCATTAAGTTTCAGTGCCATGAAAATGTATCTTGAGATGTACAAGTTACAACCATATCGAAAGGGTTAAGTTAAACTGTTTTTATTTCACTTCCACAATTCCATAATTTCAATAATGTAATGCTTTAATGAATCGATTCACGGGAAATTTTTTAAATTGATTTTTTTTATCTACTGATGCATGAATGAAGTATAATTTGCATTTTATGTAAGTTGTACTTTATTGGTGGTTAATTTTTAATTATCTTCAATATAGACTATCTATTTGGAAGAATAATTGTTGTTTAGTTATACTACATCGAAAAATGATTGTAGTCTAAATTTTTATATGGTAGACTATGTTACTATGGAAATAAAAACAAATATTTGTTAACATAGTTTATTGTAACAAATTTAGAAGTAATGCCGGTTATTATAAACTTTTTTTGTCGATCCTCGACCCTCATTTAGCCTTCGGAGACCGAAAGAACCAATAAATTTCATGACGAGTTATTTGTGGAGTTTTTAATATATGGATTTCTAAATTCAATACAGCTAAAAGGTTTTTTTTTAACTTGCTGGAGTATTTTTTGCTTAAATATCACATATCAAAGACATTCTGAAAGATATTAGAAGTGATGTTTAAAATGTATTCTCTAATATTCTGCTTTAGATCCTTGATGTTGTCTGACCTATTTACACAGACTTTGATTTTTAAACAAACCCACAACTGGATGTCCAAGGATGCCAAATCCAGAGAACAAGGTGGCCATTCAATAAACCCTCTTCTACCTATGTAACGTGTCAAAATTCTGATACGTGAGATCTTGTCAAAATTTTGCTATTTTCATAAATTTTAAATCACCCAGTACGTCATTTTATACTTAAATAAACATTTCCCAATGAGATTACTTCGTAAGACCACCCTATTCCTGCAAACCTTTTTAAAAGTTAATACTGGGCTGCCATACTAGAACAATCCTTGCCGGTTTAATTAAGGTTGTCAGTAGTTTTTATGTTTGTAAATATAGAAGATAATCCATTAAAGAAAATGCTGAAAGGTGGTCCCTTAGTTGGATCAATCTTAGTCCCATCACGTCCCGTTTGAAAATATTCTCAAAGAATGCTTGGACCACACACCAATTTAACGGTATTTTTCCTCTGTAAATATTTTTCTGTAAAAAGGAATATCTTCACATTGTGATGTGTTGTGATTGTGTTGGGAGATCCCTGTCAATATATAAGAGATTTTTTGATACCTTTTGCAATTCTTTATATTTTTATCTTCTGTTTTTTTGTCTATTTAACTTTGCTTTTTTCTTTATTTAATTAGGGTTCAATGTCCGAGTATAATCCAATGTAGTCTACAGTCAGTCCAATGTTAGTCCGACGTACTCTAAAAATATTCCCACTTGCTCAATATGGGGCCCCCGTGCATTCGGGAGTTGTCTACATATCCAGTTAATATTCCTCCAGCTCAAATATCGAGTACTTTTACGTCATATGTATTAACTTTTGAATAAACTTTCAGACTTGCACAGTATAATTAAATGAGTGTAATGCATTATTTGAGAAAGTAAAACACCGCTCCATGTGCAGAACAGAATGACAACTTCTTTATTACTTCTGTCATGGTAGCCAACCTGATTTACAATATGTTTGGGGATCAGGATAGGCAACATTTCAATATTAACAGTCAACTCAAGTATTGGCACTTTTAAGTTAAGAAAGTTACACAATAATACGACAGACTGGATAGCGACATTTTTGTTTTAAATGCCTGTTATATGTGTTAATTAAAATTAAATATGTAACAAAAAATCATAATATTACTTAATATTAATTATTTTAGACCATAAGCAAGTTTAATCCTAACGGATTAACGAAATAATAAACTTTTTAATCTTTTTGTAGTCAAATTGTCGGTAAGCTTCATTTTTCCATTTAGTTTTTCCAATATTCAGAATTTCTGATGTCCAGTCAGGTAACCGAGTTTTAAATACTTGACTTATTTCTCTTAAAACAGATTCCCTAAAATCTTTAAATATTTGTCCGTATTTACAATTCCATTTATATAAAATGCAACTTTCTAACACTTTTATAGTTTATTTTTATGAACGAGAGAGTAATTAGCATAATTTTAAC